GTTCATTAGGCCTCAGAGACAAGACTTTCAAATATTATCGATAAGAAATTTAAATAAGTCGGTTATTGTGGAATGGATTTACCCGTAATAAAAGTGTATATAGAAAGTGTTTAAACAATAGAAAGGGATGTGCGGTGGTTTTTCCCCCGAAAGATTATATCGGTAAAAGTTTATTAACAAAAGACATTGAATTGAGAAACAGGTATCGTTTGTAGCTATTAGTAAGAAATATTTGTAAAGCAGATAGATTTAGCTAGAATAATTAAAGAATGTTGTTTTCTGGAATTACCCGAATGACGTTTTATAGAGAGAGTTGGTTGGTAACGATATACGTGACAGAGGTAGAAGATTTTTATTGGTCAATTTTTGAATGCAAGGAGGGAGTGGTTTTAGCTATGAGATAGGAGAGAGGAAAGGAGTTAGTCAGTTTTCGTCGCCCAAGAAGGAAGGAGCTTTGTGGTTTGTGTTTGTTTGAAGTCCCGAAGACGTAATTTACCGGGTGTGTTTATTTGCTGTGTAAAAGCTGATCAGTGTGAGGAACGGGGTACAGAGAGATAGAAAAACCAAAGGGTATAAGAATATTAATATCAGACGAAGCCGGAAACATTTGAAGTTATAAACAGGCGCGGAGATTGGTTCAAAAGGAGGCTGCATAGAATTACACGAGTTGTTGGGTTGCAGATACAAGGACAGATAGGAGAAAGGTGTACGTCTTCTGGACCAAAATAGGAGCAGAAGCAGAGAAAGGTTTTTTTTTATGGCGTGGCCATAGAATTGCAACGGCAGATAACGAAAGGTCAGTCAATTTTCATTAGAGCAGGAGTGTGGTTTTCATTTATAAATTAAATAAATTGAATAAATAATAGAGACAGGTAATTTTGCGATCATTTAAAAAAAAATTATAAAGAGAGCTTAGTTATAACACATGTTAAAAATCAATGTAAAATAACATTTGGGTCCATGATAGAAAACAACTTCTCATATATTTAAAGTATTGTATTGCAAATATTACCGGATTGATTGTTATATAAAATTTCAATAAAATAAAGGACATCTCACATATACTTCAGTTGAAATTCTGTGTATTTTATTCAGGTCATATTACCTATCCCAATTAGGAAGCCAATTGGAAAATATTTTGAATCCACGATCAAAGGTAAATAGTACAAGTTAAATAGCCTGAGATTGTAATTAATTAATGCTGATTTATTGTGATTAATTGGAGATTAGATCATTTAATAAATATAGACAGGATCTTTTCTAAATAAGCAATAGAATACAATTTAAATAGCATAACAATATATATATATATATATATATATATATATATATATATATATATAACAAAAGAGTTTCTCTTGCCGTTTGTCTGACAACTGTAGAGGCCGTTGCTGTCCGATCTAAATCACAAAAATTCTAAATCTTATAGTGTTATCCCTGTCGACACCATGCGGTCAACCCGTAAATTTTCGAAAAAGTGCTAGTTAGTAGCAACCCCCGAGAGAATTTAATTAAATCAGGTTGCGTCGGTTTAGCTGAAACTAATCTAACTGTTTACCCTATTTTACTTTCGAACGCTGCGTCAACGTGGTGCGTCATCGACAGCTGCTCTTAAGCATGCGTTCATAATCATCTATCTTCGTATCGTATCGTCCTAACAATTTTTGGTAAAATAAATGCAATATTTTAAATGCGAGCGTTCACCGTCAGTGCTATGTTCTAGGCAAGAATACAATGCTATGGTCTCCGTTATGAACTCACCCTTAGTCTCCTAGGTACGTCCTCGTTGCTCGATCCATTGTACTGATAGTAGTGACTCCCTGCGCCTCATTCTCTAGGTGTTGCTTCTCTGTGGGCGTGTTCTTTGTCTGGTGTTTTGATATCCTGTTTTAGGTTTTCCACCTCTTCAAGACGTGGTTTGTTTTTTGTAGGGTGTTCGCTGGCTTCGTGGATTCCACTGATGGTTTGCTTTTTGGACTTGTCGTCGGGGGAGCGTTCTGCACAATCAGAGCTGAAAGTGTTGTTGAAGTTTACACTTTAATAATAATAAATATGTTGAATCGCGATTCGCCACTCCCTGGTCGATGCGGTTACTTATATAGTTAATCGAGGCGCACTTCTCTTGAACGGCCCTCGGTAAAGCTTCTTGTCATTGGTCCTGTCCGTGTATAGGTAAAAGGGGTCCTACTAGTCAATCTTTTTGTCTGATGTATTTTTGATTTTTTATGAGTACCGTTTTCCATGTTGTTGGAAGCCTTTGAACATAATCTCTTTGGTTGATTTCACTGTTGGGATTTTTTTCTTTTTCGACTCTGATTTCGCGTTTTCTTTTAATTCAGGTTCAGATTTATTGTATGTCATGTGTTTGAGGATGTTGTGCAAAGGACGATGTTTTTTCTCTCCTTTCGATGGCATTTTGATGATTTCCTCGTCTAACATTGATTCTTCGGTTAGTCCGTCCGATATACGATTTGTCACTATCCGCACATGGAATCTCTTATACTCTTTGATTAATTTGCTAAAGATATTTTGGTTTTGGTGAATGCTAAAATATTTGAGATTATTTTGTCGGTATTAAATATCGTTTGTATTTTGTGTTTTCTTAGCACTCTTCCTATTTTTTCTGTTGTACCCTTTACTTATAGTAAAATGGCTTTTGCAATTGGTTTTCTATTGACTGTTGGAACTGGTTCCAACTGTTTAATAACTTAAATATGGAAGGACCACCCACGTATTTGTAAATAAAAGAATATAATAAATAACTATATAATATAATCGCAAAATGGATTACTATTGGTAAGACAATATTTGGTCAATGTCCTTTCGTAAAGTTCGTATGGAACCTATTTTAACCAACGAATTCACACTAGTCTATTACGAAACAAAGACACAATAACATTATTGACAGCTTAAATATATCTAACTAGGATATAAACTAAAATTGTCTTTAACACTAATTAACTATTTTGTACCATTTTCTTTTCACACCGTATATCATAAAAACCGAAAAAGATTTTTAATCTGTTTGCTGAAGACTGTTTATAATAAACAAATTTCTCTTTCGTTTAATCTTAGTTCCGCCTAAATATGTACGCTGGAAATAAACAAGAATATTTCCGCCTATACTCGCAGGAGAATGAGTTTTGTCATGACATTACTTCCGGGCAGCAGCCGTAAGAAGAGGATGAAGTCCCGTTCAGGCTTAGCCTGTTTTTAGTTCCTCTCGCACGCAATTGGGCACGTAGCCCGTAAGAATGATGGGAAAATTAGAAATATAGTGCAGTACTACGAGTAAAGTACAACAGTTAAACTAAGATAAAGTGAAGTGATAAGTTTTAATTCAGTTGTAAATTAATTAGTGAAGTCGACAGCAGTATTATGTTAGTTAAAATTAATTTTCAAACTTATCCGAATGTTGGAAATATGATCGCTAAATGTCGTCTTTCTATTCAACTGAAAAAAAAACCTATTATATTTTATTGTCTAAATATCTAGTGCAGTGCCGTGCAGAATTTTTCTACATAAGGTTCTACATAGTGCAGGTACTGAGGTATGCTCTTTAAATGTTTCTCCTATCTCGTATTAACCATTGTTTCTAAATACAATCTAACAATTTGCATTTCAGTGCTCTGGTGATCAAAGAGAATTGTTGTGCCCTTTTGTTCAGCTAATTAATATGTAAACAATTTTTATAGATCGTAAGATATAATGCCTATAATATCATGATAGTATGCTATAACTAAGGTAATACGTAAATATTTTTGCTAAATTTAATTATTTGAATTCATTTTGCAGATTTACTATTTATAAATGTATTCTATCTAATTTTAGAACTATTTATTTAATACCTTTTTGCTATCTGTTTTATTTTGTTTACTTATTATTGCTATATGTATTTCAAGTAATAAAAATTGGTAATTTGTAGCCAATATTTTGTTTAATGGTTCCCTATAATCTTCCTTTATCCTGGTAACTAATAAGAAGGTAAATATGATAAAAATATAGAGAGATATTATAAGGTTAGTATGTTTGCCTTTTTTTTGACTATGCATGCCTATTGGTTTTTTAGAGGTTTAGTTTTCTTTAATCCTTCTTAAGCCAAACTTCTAATAGGTCAAGTGTCCATTTTTCCACTTTCTTTTAGTACCAAATTCCCTGATTTCATTGGTTCTCCCAAATTTTTTAGCTACATATATCCCTATCCCAAATCTATTGACCCACGTCCAAAAGCTTACCGTTGGGTCATTCAAAATACCTGAGCGCCGCCGGTTTGCAAAGTGAACTAACGTGCACCTGAATTTTCTTTTTCTCTTTCCATCCAGAAAAGATACGTTACAATGCAATAATAAGCGGTGTTTGCTAACGTGTATCATTCATAACTATAAGCGAAGCACAAAATAAGCGAGAGTTGGTACTCGAACAAAAACTAAATGAAGTATCCACACTCTGTGATATCTAAACGATTACTTTTAGCAGACTGATTTTTCTATATGAGGTTTGGCGAACAACTACCCGGCAACAATTGAGTAAATTGCTTGCAGAAATGTATCTAACTGTAATTTCAGATAAGTAATAAATATGTTTAACAGTTTCCTCTAAATTGTAAGAAAATCTGCATATTGCTGTAAGTATTTTACACATTTTACAGAGACATCCGTGCATTGTTCAGTGAAAATACCTGCGATTACTCTGACTTCAGCCTATTAAGCAGATAATTGTAATAATTGTGTTGCTTGTCTATAACCTGGAGTATTCTTACAATATCTCAAAATACTTCTTAGTGTCTAGAATACCAAAAATCTCCTTAGACGTACCCAAAATTTTAATACCCATTCGAATTTACCGGCAGTAATAAAATCAAAACTATTAAAACCTAACATTGACTAACCATCTAACCCATTAATTCACCTTTAAATTCATTTAATTTAAAATTATACATAAACACTAATTATCTTATATATTATGTTTCTTAATGCCTTAATTTCAAATAATATTCTTACCTGTAATAATAACGGTTTTAAGATCTGTTTGATCTTCACCTTCAGCTTCTTCGACTGTCTCTTCTGGAATAGTTCTGGCTAAATTCTGCAGGTATTGGTAATTAAGTTTGCATTTTGATAGGGGACATTGTTGCGGTTTCACATAACTGAAACGTTATAGTTATACTTTGAAGAATGCTGTTAAAATTGTATGTTGAATAACTTGTGATCAAGAGTTTAGTTGAGTGTAAAGTTGATGAATCGTAGAAAAACTAAATGGAAAAACATATTTGCAAACATTTATTTTTAATTTCAAACTTGTTGAACTTTTTCCCCAATTTTGTGCTTATCTGGCCGACAATCTTATGTACCCATTTTGACTTTTGCGTCAACGACAGTAACATTTTTGTAAATATCCTTTTTTTTCTAGTCCTTAACCTGATATACGATAGTAAAATTATGAATTGACATTTCAAATCGTTTCCATTTTTTCGGACTTTTGCCATGCATGTAAAGTGTGGACATTTAAGTGGATTGTTGTTACTATATATTAACTCGAGGCATCTACCGAGACGTCCTTTGCTTTTCCTACATTGGAATTTCTGTTATTATGTGTCAGAATAGAGTAAGTAAGAAAGTAACATTTTTTGTTATCTTATACGCATGCACAGTATTTTCGCCGTTTCAATGTTAATGCAATTTGTCTCTGCAACGGCATAAATACAGTTAACTTTTTCGATTTTCGAGCTGTACCGATTGTGTATATAAAAAGTATATAAAATTATTATAACTTAAGAATGATCAGGGACAAATTAAATAATTTTATATACTTTTTATATACCTTTTTACATAGTTGACTTTACAATACTTTAATAATTTTGCCAATAGACTTGATAATTGCAAGTCAAAAATTGCACAACCACACAATCGGTACAGCTACTCTTATTCATTGTCATAAAACTGTCTCCTTCATTACATAAATACTCAATAAATAACACACATTCCAAAAAAATATATCTCTGTTATAAGTGTAAATAATTTAAATAATACAATAGTAAAGAACATCACTTTCATCTGACAAACAACAACAATATACCTATCTCTAATTCATTGGATCAAATCTGTTCTCCTCAAGAACTTCCCGTTTATTGTCAAAACAACTGCAATAGCTCATTAAAGTTCTCCAATCAACAATACATGATTTTTGCAACCATGACCTACCATCCATCAATTAATAGAGTACCGGCATGTAAGTAATGTTTGTTTTGTTTTGTTTTATTTATTTGCTCATTCATTAATTTATTACAACATAAGATTGCTACTTTATACCAATTGTGGTCCTTACCTTGTCTGTTAATACCTTTTATATATTCAAATTATTCATTTTGAAAACCACAGACATGTAATATTGGCATAATTACTATAATTTGTATGAACTAATTTATTTATTTGTTTATTTTATCTTTATGAGACACCACCCTAATTGGGTTTATTTTATTGCAGCATTAGTTTAACTTTGTATCTCGACCTGAAGATGCTTTGCAAATTATAGACAGCGAAACCGGTCGTCAGATTGTTAAATTAAATTGATTGTGAGTAAGTCTTATTATTATTTTTTTACCTATTTGATATGGACTCACACAAGCAACACATTCATTATATATATATATATATATATATATATATATATATATATATATATATATATATATATATATATATATATATATATATATATAAAATTTATAAAATAAAAATGTAAATCAGTCCCAAAATCTGGTTAAAAATCTTTTTTAGTTATATCTAATTCATCACATTTTTACTTTTAAATTGGGTATAAAGCAAGTTCGCGTCTGCAGTAAAATACTACGCGTGTAAATACACTGAGTACGCTGGTTATACGCTAGGTACTCTAGCATAAGATGCGTCGGACAACATTCCATAAGATCTCCTGACAGAAAGAAATCACTGTTTTTAAAGCTGTTAAAGATGACACTGCCAACAAATGGTCCTTATAAACACCTTTTGACAAAAAAAAACTTATGCATAGTGTACGAGTTTTTTAACTTAATATAGAAGACATAAGTATAGAAGACATAACAAAATTCCAAATACTGCACACATTATAAAAAGAAAACGATATTGAGGACCTAATCACAATACAAGAAACAGATACAGAAAACGAAGTCCAATTGAGTTCAAGAGGCAAAATCCCGGCTATTATCTATTTGGTGCTACCAAAAATAGAGCCAATGATATAGCAACCTATGTACGCGCAAACATAAAAAATGCAGCCTACATTCCACTTCTACCAACAATAATGTCTACGAAGTAACAGAAAGTCTAAAGTTGGACGTAGGTCTAACCTAATTTCTTCCAGTTATGTCAGTCTTGAGCTTCTTGCAGCCAATTCTCGACGATTAATTTGACGTCGCGTCGTCTGTCCATCGTGTAGTTGGTTTACTTCTGCTTTGTCTGTCAGCTCGTGGTCTTCAAACTGTTCATTTTAGCTACATGACCCGTCCAATTCCACTTTAGCCATTGCGCTTAAGCTTTGTAAGTCTGCTAATTTTTTTAAAAATTAGCAGACTTCAAAACAAACATGACTTCTCCATATTTCATAAACCTACCCATACTGACACGACTATACAAAATTCATCATCCCATCCAACACAACATAAACTGGCAGCTTATCATAGTATGTTACATAGATTAACAGAAATTCCGATGTCAAAATACAACTTTGAGACAGAATTAAATATAATTAAGCAAATAGCAGTAAACAACGGATACAACGAACAACGGATACAATTAATAAAATGTTAAATCAGAAACTACACAAGAAAGCCCTGAAATTAGTATTTCCACCACCAGAGAAAAAACCCAATACTCTCTGCTCGATTACATATACAGGCAAAATAACAACAAAAATTGCCAAACACATAAAAAAGAAAGGAATAATACCAGCTTTCCGAACAAATAACAACCTAGGCAAATATATTAAAAATAACAAGAGCCAAAATAAAAAAACACTTAAATACTCGTGTGTACAAACTTCAATGTAGCGACTGCCCAAAAACTTACATCGGTCAAACTGGTAGAAACTTTGATAAACGAATAGCAGAACATAAAAGGGCTTTCAAGAATAGAAAAACAGATTCGACATACGCACTTCACCTTCTAGATCATAATCATTCTTTTAATGACAAATTTAAAATTCTTCACATTCAAAATAAAGGCCTTAAGCTATCTTTGTTAAAATCTATGGAAATCAACAAATTAAAAAAAACAGATATAATTCTGAATGACCAACTTGAGACAAACAGTTCTCCCCTCCTCAACCTATTTCATTAGAGACTATAAATTTGTAAACCCAAGCCAAAAATAGATCACTTGAGAAAGGCAATCAGTCGAGACAGCTGTAGTGATAAGATTTAAAATAAATTTTGGGGAAGTTTGAAAACAAAGTTTTCAGTGTTTTATTGTTCATCCATCAATTATTCTTCTTTACAGTTCAGCAGTTTGGTTTTCCCGAGCAACTTGAATTTCATGACCTTACTATTTATATTTATAAACTAATCCTATTTCGTTTCAGTCGACTTTTGGATTTTCGTTTGGTACTAGATTTGTCATGTATTTTGTCTTTCCAAAATTTATGTTCAAAGAAATTTCGTTTTAAAGGTGACATCTAATTTATTAAGCATAGTTCCCATCTCCTTTAAGTCATCTGTTATCAGAACAATGTTATCCGCAAATCTAATAGGTGTAAGAGCATTTCGCCGTCGATATTGATTCCTTTGGCTTCCTATACCAATTTTTGAAAGCATGTTCCAGAACTGCCGTAGAGAGTTTGGGAGATAACGTGTCTCTTTGTGTAATTCCTGTATTGATTTTTATTCAGTTTGTATTGGTGTGCAGTCTAACGGTCACGGTTACATTATTGTATATATTCGCGATCAGTTTGGAGTACCGATAATCTATGCGACTTTCTTCCAACGTTCTCATTACGCTGTTAATTTATATCCCCATCGAATGCTTTGCGGAAGTCTACGAAAGTTACTCCCCTTTCAGACGAGGATACTGTATCTGAGATACTGTATGCGAGATACAGAATTTGTGTCTGAAAGCGTTCATTTAGCGTAATGTTTCTTCTGTATCTGGCTTACGCATTCGGTATCTCGCATACTGTATCTGTCGCGCGTCTCGTGTGAAAAGCTCCATTTGAGTCTATGTAATATCTGCGTCTCGGATACGCGTATCTCAGATACAGTATCCTCGTCTAGGGTCAATGGTCGGTTGTATTCGATCGATTTTTCTGTAATCCCTTTTATGCAGTGGAGGTGGTCGTTTGTAAGAAATTTTTTCCTAAAACCTACCTGTTCCCTAAGTTAGTATAAATCTAATTTTGTTTATAGGCTATTTGTTATTATTATCGAAAATAACTTGTGATGCTGTAATAGTGTTACAGTGTAACAGATATGGTGTAACATTCTTATGTGTCGGTAATTGCAGAGGTCTGTTGAATCGCAATTTTTATGTAATAATATGGTAATGTATTAAGTTGAAAAATTTTTTTGTTTTCTCTTAAAGTCTGTCTTCCGCAATCTTTACAGCTTCTATAATATTTTTTCCCCGGCGCTTTATTTTTTATACCAGTAATATACGTAGTGGATTTTAACAGTAAGCATGAGATGTAGAAGTACTATGACAATGATAAAAATGGCTTCTTTTGGAGTGGTCAGAAGAAGATGGTATCTACCTGACCACTTACCACTGACGATAAAGGCTAACCTCTGTTAGCATCAAGAAAGATCATGTTCGATTTTCCCCATAGCCAACATCGCCTATTCTGATCAAAATTGCCATTAGCATTCCAATTATAAGATCGTTTCCACGCCCCAGATGCAAATTCAAGAAAGCTAACTGGTCTGCTTTCTCTGGCAATCTTGATCCAACCTAAACATTTATTAAAGCATAAACTACGACAAATCAACAAGAGCAATAATGGCAAAAGTAACAATTCCTAGAGGTTACCGCAGGAAGTATATTTTTAAATGGTCTGTGAAGAGCAAAAAAATGTATAAAAAATTCTGTAAAGACGGAAAGTAGAACATTATAAACAAATAACTCCATAGCATTAATACCTATAGGCTCGAGAACTGAACTGAAACAGTTGAAACTTTAGATTTTAAGAACTTTAGTAGACAAGCCTAGTCACTGCTTCGAAAACCAGAAGGCAGTACCCACCTGATCGCCCAGCTTATCTAGTAACATTAAACCAAGTGATGTCCAATATATTATCTGCCTCAAGAGTAACCCAAAACCGCTTACACACAATTAAAGATACTAAAGACCTCAATAATTTAAAATCTACTTCTCCACTTAAAAGAATGGACAATCCTTTTAACTCTTTAACTTGTGAAAAAATCACAGAAACTTTCAATAAAATGAAAATGGTAAAAGCCACTAGCTTTAATGGCATTCATGCTGAGTTTCTAAATCACTGTAGCAGATTTACTGGGCAATGGCTTGCAAAGTTCTTTTCTGACATCCTTCAGATGAAAAATGTTTAAATAAAGCATAAACCGGCGCCATTTTAAAACTAGGAAAGCTGTTCATTCACCAATAAGTTAGCGTCCTATTGCACTTCTCAGTATGGTCTACAAACTTTGTAAAAGAATGGTTTACTTATTATAGAATTAGCCAAACAACACTCCTAACTACGTAGAACTATGCTTTCATAAACAACTAAATTTATCCACTGTTTTCATTGATTTATGAGCAGCTCACGATATGGTGTGAAGATAAGGGGTAATATATTAATAAATGCCAGCGATTTTATGCATAAAGATCATTGATTTAATTTTTGATATGCTATACAACAGAAGATTCCAAGTCATCATTGACGACAAGACTAGTGCCTAAATCAAACTTAACAATGGCATGTTCCTTCTAATCTTTAGTCTCTATATAGGCTACAACCACATCAAAAAAGTTTGATTATGCAGACGACTGGGCGCTTACTACAAGCCCTAAAGAACCAAAGACAACTGAGCAAATATTAACAAACGGTCTAGGATCGGAAGATATTTCTGACACTGGAAATTACAACCCAACGCTGCCAAAACAAAAGTATAATGCTTTCATTTAAACAGCAAACTGGCCAACTACTAACTAAAAATCCACTTAAACAAACTCTTCAACTACAATAAACACCCAAAATATATAGGTTTGATACTCGATAGAACGTTAAGCTTTAAAAAACATACAAACAACATAAAGACGACTGCAAAACTTACAACACGAAATAACTTTGTGCAAAAGTTATGCGGTACCACATTGGGTTCCTCAGTGTCTACACCCACACTGTACATCAACAGTACTTAAACTCGTGTATCCCGTTGCAGAGTACTGTGCACCGGTGTAGCTCAACAGCCCGCACACCAAACATGTTTACGCCCAACTAAACCTGGCTTTGCGTATTATATCGGGCACATCAAGACCACGCCAACATACTGGCTACTAGCACCAAGCCACATTTCCTCCTCACACGTCCGCTGAGAACATGCCCTTATCAAGTAGTATAGGAAAATTAACGCTGATCCTGTGCTCTACTTCCATATTGGTATCACCTGCAGAGACATAAGTGTAAGCTTCGTAACAACCGTTTAGATTCTGCCAGAACTCCTACTGAAAGAAACTTCAAGATAACCGACCGTTAGCGAGAGGATTGGGAAAATAATGCACCCCCTGACACCCGAAATATGCCATTGCGTTGCTGCAAGATATCTAGAGGAGGAATGCCCGATCCGATCCTACAATGGCAAGCCGTCCAATTTTTTAATCGCGACTAAATAATAGTCAACTGAATATTTCGTTTGTAAAAATTAATTATTGTTATTTACTCTTTGTAATGCATTGTCCTCTTTTCTTATACACAAATCGTAACTGTAATGAAGCCATACGCTAAATAAATATATACTGAAATTAAAACATTTACAACAATAAAACTGTGTAACTTTGAAATTGATTGAAATTAAAATCTAGCCATATGTTTTATAGCACTTTATGGATTATTTTTTGTATACTGGTTCATTTTTTATATCTAGGTACCTTAAACATTATACAATCTGTACCGACTACAGATGGGGTCCTATGTGTCGTTTATTTACTTAAAGAAAAATAGTTATAACGAAATATATGAAACAATTCAGAGAACTCAGCAGTGGTAAAAGAACATAGAAAAATATTATTTATATATCTTACCATGTATTCGAATTTATTGTGGACACCAAAGTGGAAAGAGGTTTGCTATTGAGCCTTTCAGCTGCTAATCCAATGTTGTGAGCTAAAGTGGGTGATATGCCGTTAATAGGTTGTCTGTTTTTTAAAATATTCATAACTTGTTGTATGTTTATTCCAATATTATGACTGGGACTGGTAGATATAGCTGCACAAAATGGGATAGCCTAAAATGTATTTTATTGTAAAATGTTTATTCAAAAACGAAAAAATTTTAATTTTGATTAAAAAATTTTATTAAAAATTTTATGAATCATTACGAAGATTGGATAACTTACGACACTGTTATAGACTGTCGGCCCGAGCGCACATGAATTGACTCCCCCTTGAAGGTAGAAGAATCTAATAAGCTCTCTACCGATAAAAGGGTTTGTGTGAATTGGCTCCCGATGAAATTCTTGAAAATTCAGGTGACAGATTTTATTGGGGTGGATGGCCAGTTCAAATTAGTTTACTGATAGTTTTGCGTTTTGCTTGTACTTGATCATATCGTCTTAGAAAATGCAAGCTACTGAAATGTTAAACGAACGGAGAAAACCCATGCTAGTGACGAACAGTTTTGAATATAATTTGCAAAAGTTGCCATACATAGCTCTTCTGCCTACTCCCCTTCGGCCCTTTATTTTTTCATTTAATATTTGTAGCAGATTATATTTGTCATTTCCTATTATGTGGCCTAGGTACGAGGTCTTTTTTTTATAAATCGTTGTTATAAGGTCTAACTCTCTATTTATGGTGTTTGATACTGTTTAATTCGTAATGTGTCGTGTCTATGATATTTTGCGATAATGTTTCATGGTATTTAGTTTTAATGTCCAGGCCTCGACTCCACAGAAGTACTGACCAAACGTAGCATTTAATAACTCTAATTCATATGTCTAAACTTAGTTTACAGCTATAGATAATTTCCTTTCATTTATTGTACATATTCCTAGCCTGTTCTATTTGTATTTTTATTTCTATATCTTAATTCCACATGTAGAAATACTTACTTACCGTTTAGTACTACTCCTAAGTATCTGAATTTGTGAACTTATTTTAATTGAGTGTTATGTAGGCCAATGCGACAATTTTCATAGGTTTTGCTAATAATAATTACTTTAGATTTTAAAGATTTATTGTCAGTCCTATTACTTCACTTGCATTATTAATTATATCTATAACTCTATCTATTTATAGTATATTTTGTAATTTTTATCTTCCATGTTTCGGCTATCAGAACGGTATCGTCGCATACTTGATATTGTTAATATATTCACTGTTTATTTTTATATCAATTTCGGCGCCATCTACACTTCATCTAATTTACATACCGATGCACGTCATCGGCGTCATAGCTCGTGACGTCACATGATACCAACGCGAAATATTTGGGCGGTAGGTGTGTTCTTTTTTAGAATCACTTTACAGTGATACCGAGTACACTGGCATTACAGCCACTATACTACGTTCCACGTTTAGAAAATAACATTGCGGAGATAGGCCCATGTATTTCTTATGGACGATAGCAACGCGGCGTTGCCACGACACACACAAGCACAATTTAGGGTTGTATAATTTGTATTTTTGTTTCCACAAACATGAATTAAATTAATGTTTTTTAACGTAATTGACCAAAAGTGCCCATTCGAAACAAGAGATGAAAAGTAGGGAAAATGATTTTAATTAGATAAATAGTATTTACAAAAGATAATTTTATTTTATCTTATTTTAATTATAGTAACGACAGTTTATTTGTTTTTCGGTGAGAATACGATATGCCATGAATCATAGAAATCAGTAGAAAATATTGACCGCTTGGAATGCGTATATCTAATTACTAATTACAACTTAAAATAATACGATGTTCGTATTTCAGCTATTTTATGTCGTTCTCTAACTACATAATGATAATAAGGCATTTATTTAGTAGTTATTATGACTTTACAGTTAAGTGTTAATTAAAAATGAAAATTCAAAAATTAAGCAAAGGACATCCGTGCAAAAGAGAGTGTCTGAGAGTTTTGGCAACACTGATCTCCATAAGCGTAATGTTATTTTCTTAACTTAAAACAAAGAATAGACATATTTTATTATATACGAGTAGAAATAATATTTAAAAATTTCTATTAATGTTAACTTAAAGAAATACACAATAATATGTTTCAGTTAATTTGTATAAATGCATTATTAAGCATTTTTATAAAGAACATTTGATCGGAACACACTGTAACTGTAATCGAACGAAGGTGAAATTTTGGCATAAATTGGTAACACTTATTTGACAGTCGCGGTGTTGACACTTTTTGTATGTAGGTACTTTATTATTTTGAATTTTAAAGTGAATACCTCTTGTTTTATGTTTTTACCTAGTTAATAAAATATGTTCTTTTTAGAACAAAATTAGTGTGTTTTATTTTAAAAATGTCACGTAAGAATTTAAATACTCGTTGTAAAGAGATGGTAATACTTTTGCAATAATTCAGTCAGGATTTTTTTATACTTTGGCAACTATGTCAACTTAATCTTTGACGTAGATAATGACGTGCATCGGTATGTAAATTAGGTAAAGTATAGTGTTGATTTGAATTTTTTCTCGATAATAATATAAGCTTTTATTAATATTCTAACGTCTAATTCATTCTCACATGGACCATACATTTGATTTCAATATTTTGATTTAATTCTCATAAATTGAATGTTTTGCAATAATATCTAATGTAATTTGTTGTTTATGCATACTAAATTTTTCTACAAATATTACTTAATCGAGAATATGGTGCATTTTAAAATAATTCTGACAATATCGATAGCGGATAGTTAATATGGATAGGGAGAAAATCTATGTTCTCAGATTCAGATTTTGAAATATTTATTGCTTTATATTATAGTAATTGTTTTAAGTATTAGCTGTCCTAATAAAACAAACATTTATTTCCCCATGACTGTTGGTCGTCTGGATGCATTTAGAGGTCAAGTTACAGAGCAATGGAGATATGATACAGCTTTGTCGAACACCAGATTTTTCCGTCTTGCATCATTTTCTGCAGTTTTTACAAAAATTTTTCATGTTGGACTATTCTAAAAGGCTTCTGATAGTCGATGAAACAGAGATATACTTTTTTCTGGCGATCAAGGCATTTTTGAATAAGTATTTGAATCGCAACAACTTTTGTTCCCAAGGCCTTTCTAAATCCAAACTGAGTCACTTATGTATATTTAACATTTTTATAAATTTGATTATGTGTGATCTTAAAGAATATTTTTAGTTAGGGACTCATTAATAGTAACTGTAGCACTTATTAAAAAACTATAATGGGATTAAATGGCGTCGATCAAAATAGACAATCGTCTGACAGCAGAATTGCCAATAAAAAGAGTTCGTCAGAGCTGTGTACTTTCTCCACTGTTTTTGAATATCATAACTTTTGAATATCTTAACCAGAGAGGGAGATAGCTTGGAACTAAATATAAACACAAATTAAACAAAATTAATGGCTATTACACGTGCACCAAATGTTGACATTATTATTCGTATCTATAACAAACATATAGAACCAGTACAAACATTCCAGTATCTTGGTTGCTGGATAACAAACGATCGTGACCACGAGATTGAAATACGTGCTCGTATAGAATATGCTAGGTCCGCATTTCAACGAATGAAAAAATGCCTAATAAACTCTACGTTATCGTTGGATATCCGATACCAATTTGTGAAAACGTTTTTTTATTCCATATTGCTATACTGACTAGACACATGGACTCTCGGAATTACCAGTATGAGGCTTATAGAAGCCTTTGAGATGAGGGTTTTTCGAAGGATGCTAAAGATCTCTTGGACAGAGCACGTGACCAACAACGATGTGCTAAGAAGAATGGGTACTGAAAGAGAACTCCTAACTATTGTAAAAACAGAAAAACAAGTTATCGTTATCTAGAACATATTTACAGAGTAGGAAAATACAACTTCCTACGACTTATAATGGAAGGAAAAGTGGAAGGAAGAAGAGGTCCAGGAAGAAGAAAATGCTCCTGGTTGAAGAATGTAAGAGACTGGACAGGCATGGACACACATTCAATACTAAGAACAGCTCAAGATAGAGAACAATTTGATGTAGTTATAGCCAACCTTCAGTAATGGAGAAGGCACCTTAAGAAGAAGACTCATTAAGCTAATATAGCAATGAATTCTAAGTTAAGCTATTCCTTTGGTATAACGAGACTTTTATATATCGAAAGTTAAAGAGATGTATTGTAGTTTTATGTTGTTACCGTTAAACGAATGTTAGTGTATATAAACTTTAATTATATGAAACAGTTGGCGAAAGATTCAGAAACTAGGCTTCACATCGGAATATTTGAAAAAATCAGGCATTTCGTGTTACTTAAAATACGTAGGCGATTGTTTTGCGATTGATATTAAAGCAATCTTACCCAGACATACTACTACTACTACTAAGGATTTCCATAGTTTTCACTGTCTTCCTTCACTCAACCGTTTTCCTGCTTGGGTTCACAGTAGGAAGAACATTCTACATTCAGCAGTTTAAAAATTTGCAGATTTCTTAGCGGAGAACTAATTTGCTGAAGACGCCATATTTCCACCTACCATGTGGACAGAAAATAGTACGTCTGTACAAAGAATTACGAATACATGCGAGAGTTTTCATTTAAAATTTAATTCTTTGTTTTATACATGACATCAGAACATTTTCCAATTTGTTTAGGTTCTCGAAAAGGTTTAAATAGATAGCTATTTAAAGTAAGAAGTAGTAGTATCCCTAAAAGAGTATACCGAAAACCAATACATCTGAAAAGAGATTTCATTGAACCTCAAACACGTATTTTACAGGAAAAACGTAGAACTGCTTTTGAGTTTGTAGAAAATATATCAAGAAGGTATTAACCTATAATATAATCTGTAAGTTGCAGTTACTTTAATAAATAACTTGATTACGACTACATTTCTAATTTCTGGTGTATATTAATCCTCTTTCCTCAAAATCCAAGTTTCAGAAGGAGATTCAATTTATGGGAATTTCGTAATAGGAGGGAGCTAGTTCATATATGGGTTTGGGAGCCAATTCGTGTAGGGCTATAGTGGTTTTATTCAGGAGCCAGTTAAGGTGCGCCGGTCGGCCCAACCGGACAATAGCACTATCATAGAATAAATTATACGAACGACATTGCCATTATCAAACAGGCATATGACAAGTACTTGCAATAAAAAACAGAGAAAAATAAAAATATATTTAGGGAATCTTGTTATAAAACAAAATGGAATTTAACACAAAGAAATTAGCAATAAGGAAAAAAAGTTATTAATCAAATTGAAAATGATTTTCGTAGAAGATAAATTTTACTAACTTAAGAGTCATTGGCGAACTACAATGTATATTTGCTTAAGAATGATTAGGAGCTACATCTGGTAAATTACTGTTGACCAAAATTCAAAATTATCTGAAACGTTCTAAACGGCACAATATATATACATATATATATATATATATATATATATATATATATATATATATATATCACACTTTAAAAAAAATGGTAGTTAAATGTCGATAATGAATTTTTCCAGCACTATGGGTTAACGATGCTCACTCTATATAACACCAGTCCGAGTAATGTCGACTAATCGCGACATTTGAGTCAGAGCTTTTAGAAATATAATCCTTCTACATAAATCAGGCTGATTTACGGCATCTCCACTACCCGACTTACTTAGCCACAAACTGGTAATCTAAACTTGAGCAACTAATCAGAAACATCAAACTCATGGCCGGCTAGATCAGAATCACAACCGACCAGGCAAGTAAGATAAATATAACTGCCATAGCCAAAACAAGAAACAAAAAACTTCGAGAAACTACAAATTTTAAAGATTAAATTTAAAAAAATTAAGTATTGAGGTCACATCTTGTTGTTTTCTTGTTTCCTGCTGTTTTTAGATAAAAGGCGCAGGTTTGTGTTTTAGTTGGGTTTAGTTTTACGTAATTTTTCTTATGGTAGGCATTGGGATTTAAGACGTCTTCAGATAATTTTTCGTCGGCCTGGACAGTACGCGTCCTTGTGACAAGCCATTCTTTTTGAAGTAAATTGTTTATTACACGGGTAAGTATGAAGCCTTTGGCCATACTTTAAAGTTGCCTAACGTCATAGGCAGTTGTAAATACTATAAAAATAGCACCAGTGATTTTACGATTTTAAAAACTATACTCTATGTTTTAAGTTAGTTTAAGTATTTGCGAGGTGCTGCTTTTAACAGGTCTAAATCCAGCATATTGGGTGATGACAAGAGGTTTAACAGCAGCTGTCAGATTTTTAAGGATCATTCGTTCAAGTACCTCATATAGGCAGCACAACAATAATAATGGTCTATAAAAATTTTAAGAAGGCTATGACTTTGGATTTGCTTCAAATTTTTGGCAGTTTGTCAGATTTAGATCAACTGTTCATTAGTTTTACTAGTCATTACCTTGTTATTTTGGCAAATTTCTTTATTTGTTACTTTTTTATGTAATCAAAGCCAGAAGTTTGGCATTTTTATACAGGTCAATTGCTTTAATAATTTCCATCAACGTAAAGCATATTGTCATCTCTTCAGTCTACCTTTCTGGCAGTTGTTGAATTTTTTCCTTGCAAATATTTTCTGAGCTCACGAGTTTACTACTTTTAAGCAGTTGGTAAACGATCTGGTCAGCTTTATTGTTGGCATGTCCAGCAGTTTTTGCGAAATTTCTGACCAAACGCTTTAATAGTGTCCAGGCCTTTTGACTTTTGACTATTTCTCGTCAGGTCCAGATCCTCCAATGATATCATTTGTCACTCTCTTTTGATTTCAGAGTTCTGACAGATTATTTTGTGTACGGTGTCGATACTCTCAAGGTCGAAAAGGTTGTTTTCAAAGAGAATGTAATATTCGTCAATTTGGGCAGTATTTTTTGGCATAACCCTAGTACATCCATCTAATTGTACATTCTCAATAGTTGCCTGGAAACACGTTTTAAGAGCTTTTATAAAGTATTCGTGTTCCTCTGCAACGGGCCTTATACGTTGTATATTTGGTATGGGTGCACATACTGATTTGTTATTTTGATGGGCTATAGTATCACTCACAAAGAGAATTTATTATATCTACGTTGCCATGTTATACTGTTAAATAATGGGGGTAGTTTACTTTGATGAATGAGCGATATATTGTAATTTTCATGTTTAGCAAAAAAACGTTGTTAGCAGGATTGCAAAATATATTCGTGTTATAATTTTACTCATAAAAATTTAGTTTGTTAATAGTACCCATTACTAGGCTCTGGCATTAGAAGAGAAATTGTGTTGTACAAAATATAAAAATAAATACATAATGTATATACTACCTTTCTAGACATAGGTGTTTTGTCATCCTCCATCTTTCCTCCTACAATTTTAGAAACCATGCTCTAAGTACAAAATTTAGCATTATTTTTAAGAATATAACTTAAAAAAAAATAAGAACGACGAAATAAAATAAGAAAAAAGAATTCAAAAAATTGTTTGAAAAAGCATTAGATGTAACGCTAAATCATAAAAAAAAATGACCATATCATTGAATCATGTTTTTTTAACGAGCAATATTCAAGACTAACGTAAACAGAAAAAATGTTTTTTTTATTTTCATGTACCGTATACCTAGATTTACAAAATAGTTTTGAATGTGGTGTAGTGTAGCAAAGACTTCTTGTTATTGATTGCAGTTGATCTGGTATTTCAGATACATTTGTTGGCGCAATGTGAACAGCTGATATTTTTCGCGCATGTATATACAAAATACTTTACAAATTATATTATGTATCTACGGGATTAAAGGTCCATTTAATTTATTAGCAATGATTCTATGCAAGTCGTTGAAAGAAAAGCCTTAAGAAAGATAAGTTAACCAATTAACAAAAACGGAGTATTAAGTTCAAGGTAGAATCATGAACTCTATAAACTGTTCAGAGGCGTCCATCTCAGAATTCATTAAACTACAGACAGTTTTATGGGCTTGTCATGTAGTACGAATAAAGATCGAAAGATTTTAGTAACGAGCTCTAGATAGTAAAATTCAGGAAGCAAGGCCAAAAGGAGGGCCACGAAAAAGGTGGGGATGAATTTGATAAACGTGAGAACCTGAAGAAGATCGGCGCGGGACAGGCAAGGTTAAAGGCAGAGTGTCGAGGCGAAATCTTGATTTGGGCTGTAGTGCCTTTAGAGAGATAGTCTGTAGAGAAAAGGTGAAAAAACCCATGAAGTTACTAAAGTTACAGCAGCTAGATAACAAGATACAATATACGATCTATGCACTAATGTGAAAACCAAAAAGATACCATTTTGAAGATGCAGATTATAGGAATTCTAGTACCACTCTCAAGTTTCAAAAGCTTTAAAATGATTTTTAACAGTTTATTATCATCAGTAAAACTCTTAATAAAAGAAATGACAGTACGACATATACTGGTCTTTAAGTGGTGAACTCGATAACAAAAAAGTATATTTTCAGATCTGACAAAAGATAAATGTCGAAAAGAAGGAGTTTAGTTTTTTTTTCATAAATTTTTAATATTACATTTTTTATTAACATGCAAGAAGGAATTACATAAAAGATGATCCTACAATAAATGGCCAACCATTTATTCCTCGTGGCTGTAAAAATAAATCACCAGCAAAACCATCGTCACCTTCGTATGGAAAATATGTTTCTGTCTAAATAGCAAAGATTCTAGAAGGTGGAAAATGAACTCAATTGTTTTTATAAACGACAATTTTATTTAAAGATTACAGTTAATAACTATTTAAACAGATTTTCTTGGTCAAGAGAAACTAAAAACTAAAATATGTTTTTGTATTATCTATGGCCAGTGATAACTATTTTTAAGTGTAAAGTCGTACATTAAAAATTACAAATTACCTACTACCCCAACCACCTCCATGGAGGTTTTACTTGAAGTCATTACATATATGAATGGAGAAGGAGGCGACGGAGCATACAGAACGCGGATAAGGTGCCAGGAAGCAGGGATCAAATCTGGAGGGTTATTAAAAAATCATCGAGAGTTGTATATTGTATTGGTCTTACAAAATTTTATTAACCTGACTCATTCATTTGGTGAAGTTAATCTACGAACAAAACTACGAATTCCGACTTAACTGAAAACATTTACTTATCTACGGTGCATTCTCATAGCAAGACAGAGTCAACTACTTTTTGCATTAGTAAACTAGTTGAGTATTTATTGTTTTTCTTCTAACATACTTATTTTACTAATTTCTACTTATTTACTTATTGAATTATATTAAATTTATTATGAATATAAAATAGTAAATTAAAAACTATTTAAATGGGAATAAGCCACAAAAATCGTTCTCAAATAAAAATATTAGTAAATTAATCAAATTTTGTTTTATTTCGTTACTTGGTGAAAAATTCTTCTATTAATATAATTTTATCAGACTTATTTATATTGATAATTTAGACATACATTATACATTTTAAAGTAGACGACTTTAAAATGATATTGCCAAAATAACATAACAGAATAACATATAAATTTAACATTTCAACAACATTCAAAACAACAAACACATTCAGATCTATTTTCTCTAAAACCAAACCTAACAATGAACAAGAAAGAACAAAGAATTGTATTTATAAAATACCTTATACATGCGATCAGTTTTATTTAGGTGAAACATCAAGGCCAATAAATGTTAGAATAAGTGAACTTCAATTTTATATTAAAAATAGACAATTTGATAGTTCTCAAATATGTAAATATGCATGGGATAATGAGCATAGGGATCAATTGAATGATTAAAGTATAATCCTAATGAAAACGGATGCTAAAAAGATAAAGATCAAAGAAGGGACTCTAATTATGCTAAATGAGACCAATTGTGTTCCAAATTCTTCGGCAGATGGAGTAGAATCTGGTTACCCATATTAAAAGAGGAAGTTATTAAAAAGAAAATCCCAGTATTAGTCAGTATAATATTGAGGATAAATCATTTATCTTTTATAAATAACACATATACAAAATCAGAATTTGGTGTTTATTGACAGTAAACTAAATATAAGACCAAATACTTACCACGGCGGAATAGTATGAGGTTTTTCCTGGTTTTTCCCCTTATGATTTACTATGGAATCGCTAATAGGAGAATTTTACTGTTATCATGGCATGTGTCTGTCTTTTTAAAGACGAATTACAATTATAATTTATTCTGACAGATATTCTGTTGATTACATGAAATGTTGATTTCATGTAATCGAATGAACTATCTTACGTCCCACGCAGCTCAACAATATTGGCAATATTATTTTAAAATCGACTACTTTAAAATGTATAATGTATGTCTGAACTGTTAATATAAAGGAGTCCGATAAAATTAAATTATTAAAAGAATTTTTCACCAAGTAACAAAAATACAAAATTTGTTTAATTGACTAATTTTTGCATTTTGAGAACGACTCCGAAATGGAAATTGAAACGTCAAGAAACTTACTTTAACCTTTAATTATGGTTTATTTCCATTTAAATAGAAATCACTTTAAAATGCCACAAGAAAATAGCTTCAGATCAAAATAGGAAATGTTTTAAAAATTCATTTATTTTTGGACATGCGTATTTCTAAGGTTCATAAAGTTTTAATAAAACATCCCTACCAGATGCAGTGCATTCTAAAAATAATTTTAAAAAGCATATCGAGCCTAAACATCACACATAAACTCTTAGAACTACAACTGTAGCATTTGTATTTTCTTTCCTATGTATTAAAAATCGCCCTGTATGTATTAAAACACCGAAATATTATTTAAATTCTTTTGCATCGCTGGAATTGACAATAAACACATTTTAAAGTTTGTTTATAAATCACGGGCATGTATTCCTTTGGTATTTCTTTCATCGTTTCCGCTTCATATTGCGCGTTAAATAAATATCCACTTAGATCGCTGAGAAAGTACTGCAGGAAAGAGAATTACATCACTACCGGTGGAGCCTTTAACGAAATATTAAATAAAATAAATATATCAGCAGGATAATTTGCAATAGGATTTGACAAAATAACAAAATGATTGTATTTTACATCAAACATTTTACGTTTTGTAATAAATTAAAGTCATAATCAAAATATTTTATTTATAAACCAAGTTAAGAAACAGTTAACTTTTTGTCAAAGTAAGTGTCTCATATGTCCACCATTTTTGTTTAATTCATTTGTCAATACTTTCCATAAAAGATCGTTTAATATAAATAGCATCATTGGCTCTAAAGAAACTGCTGCAGTATTTATAATAAGTATTATAATGTATAATTAATATTATATTATAATAAAGTATTCGTTTATATTTTTATAAATTAAATAATTACATATATTAATATCTTACCACATGACCAAGGAATATGACTACAACGAACAATCCAACGTTCAGGAAAGTTGTATTTAATTATGTTCTCACTGCCCTCTTTATATAATGTGGTAGTGTACCATCTTGCATAAACCACATATTTCGCCTTAAGTTTGATGACAATCCGTTCAATAAATCAATAAAACCATTTTATAAAAATGGAAATAAATCTGAGCATTCAAATTACAAGGTAATTCGCAAGTCCATAAAAAATAATTACAAATGGTACCAAACCATACGATATGCATTTTAAACATGAATTTTAAATAAACGTATGGTTTGGAACCATTGGTAATTATTTTTTACGGACATGTGAATTGCCTTGTAATTTGAATGGTGAGATTTATTTAAATGTTTTATAAAATGATTTTATTGATTTATTGGAAGAATTGTTATCAAACTTAAGGCAAATATGTGGTTTATAGAAGATGGTACACCACCACATTATACAAGGAGGGCAGTGAGAACATACTTAAACACAACTTTCCTGAGAATTGGATTGTTCGTGGTAGTCATATTCCTTCGTCATGTGGTGAGGTATTAATATAATTATTTAATTTAATCATTTTGTTATTTTGTCGAATCCTACTGCAAATTATTCTGCTGATATATTTATTTTATTTAATATTTCGTTAAGTATTAACTTTATTATAGGCATTTTATACCAAAATCCAGAAGTATGGATGTTTTTGTCTAATTTTCTTTCGTTGCCTGGAGTAACTGACTCAAACTTATTAACACGTACACCTTTTTTTTGTCAAAATAATGTTTCTTTAAAATTTTTTATCACAAACACCGGTAACTTAAAGAGCAAAAAATAAGTGCAAATGTATGCCAATATGTGGCGCCCTTTATCAGGTACATTAAATTATAATTCCTAATGTTCAATAGTACCCAGTTATGAATTTTGATACATAAATGTTCACAAACATGAAAGTTATAGTGAAAATTAAAATTTTAAATTTCCACTTTATCATCATATATATATATATATATATATATATATATATATATATATATATATATATATATATATATATATATATATATATATATATATATATATTGTACAATTACTTAAGGACCACCCTGTATTATATATATATATATATATATATATATATATATATATATATATATATATATATATATATATATATATAACAATTATTTGTATTGGAGTATCGGATATGCAATCTGTTATTAAAAAAAACTCTTTTTTCTTTTATTACTCTATATTTCGCTGATTTTTTTTTAGCTTCATCAGGAGACAACTAAAATATGGTTGAAATTTATATACATATCAGGTGAGAATGAACAATGATTTATTTACAGATTTAGAGTTAAAAATATTTAAAAATGTTGTACATAATATATTCAAAACAGTACTGACAATATTAGTTAAAAGCACCTAGGTCACTAGTAATTAAATATAATAAAAAAATTAGCAAACAAAAACAATTAAGAAACAATAAAAACACAATAAAATTACACATTAAAAATATACAGGGTGATTTAAAATATAATTGTAAAAAGAAAAATTATTTAAACATACTAAGAATATTACAGTAGATATTGCTCAACTGTCCCGTGTCTGCCTTATAATTTACTGCATATTTTTCATTATATGATACATTTCTAAATACAACCTTTTTTTGTAATTGTTCTCTTGATGTAGAACACTGACCTTTGAGTAGTCAAATTGATGCCCAGTTTTTAGGTAATGGTCAACTGCTGTACATGTAGTCTTCTTCTTTGTGCAGTCACTTTTGTGTTGTGTAACCCTTTGTTTTAGCCATTGAGAATTTTGGCCAACATAACAGCTCTGGCAATCCAAACAAGGCAGTTTGTAGATAACATTAGTTTTATTTACAGTTGGTGTCCTGTCTTTTACTTTAGAAAACAGTTGTCTGTTTTCTAATAAATTATGTCGAACAATTTTGATGTTAGTAAATTGTTTAAATAAACTAGTGACAGAAGGTGTTAACTGTTTTATTAATGGTAGTTGTTTATATTGGATTGTTTGTACTGCTCCGATATCAGTGGGACCATCAAAAAAAGTTAAATATCAATTTTTTAAGGATATGTTTTCGGTATCCAATATTTTCAAAGATGTTTAACAGCAAATTTAAGTTTCTGTTTATGATTTTTTCATCACTAATATGCCTTACCCTATTCTTCATTGCAATCACTGTATTAAACTTTTGATGAGTAGGATGATTTGAGAAAAAGTGTAATTATCTTCGAGAGTGTTGGCTTTTGATACCAATCTATCAATATTTTGTTTTATTCTTCTTCTTTTTCTTCGTCTAGCCATTCACGTTCACATCTGAACATAAGCCTCTTCAAGTCTTCCTTTCCATTGTTTTTTATTGTACGCTACTTGTAGCCAATTTTTCCCGGCAGTCCTTTTCAGATCATCTGTCCATCTCATAGGAGGTCTGCCTCTGGGTCTTTTGTGTTGGTATGGTCTCCAGGTTAAAATTGATCTGTGCCATTTTTTTAGATCGCTCCTAGCTACATGTCCAGCGTATTCCCATTTCAACTTTAATGATTTTTGCACCACATCGGTGACTTTGGTTTTCTGTCTTATCCATGTGTTTGTTTTCTTGTCCTTAAGTGATATGCCTAGCATTGCTCTTTCCATCGCGTGTTGAGTGACTCTAAGTATATTCATATTCCTTTTTGTGATTGTCCATGTTTGTGCCGCTAAGTTAATATCGGAATAATGCATGCATCAAAAACTTTAGATCTAAGATGTAATTGAATTTGTTGATTTCTGAGTATATAGTTCAGTTTACCGAATGCTGCCCAAGCTAACTTTCTTCTTCTTTTTATTTCTTCAGTCTGAATTTCCTATTTAGAATTATTTTTTGTCCCAAGTATATATATTCTTCAACTTTTTCTATAACTTTATCGTTTATTATTGTCACGGTGTCTTCGGAGTGCATGACTTTTGTTTTGTTTAAATTCATTTTCAGTCCTATTTTAGAAGATTCGGTATGTAGTTCTACAAGCATGGTTTGCATTTCTTGTAGATCAGTAGTTATCAGTCAGTAGCAGTCAGTAGGATTATGTCATCTGCAAATCGTAGATTACTGAGGTAGCGGCCATTGATGTTTATTCCCTTATATTTCCAATTTTCCAAAAAAACCCATTTTTAAAAACGTCCTCCGAAACTAAGGTGAACAGTTTGGGTGATAAAGTATCTCCCTGTTTGACTCCCCTGTTTAATGGTACAGGGTTCGTGTGTTCATTTTCATTTAGGTAGTATGTAGCTGTAGCTTGGTTCATAGTTTCTTTTATTTTTTGTTTTATTCAGTTCTTATTAATTTGGTGTCCAAAAATGATATCAAACAATCATTTTCAATCTCTAAAGTAAATTGAATATGTTTGTTAAAGTTATTAAAAATGTTCAAGGTATTCTGAATTTATTTGTGAAGTAGGAACAGAACATATAAGATCGTCTACAAATTTTTTAATGAAGGATTAAGGGAAAGGTAATTGTGGAATAATAAAAAGGTTTCTCTGAACTTACCTTAAAGCTAAATGTGTTCAAATAACTCTTAGCAACCTGTTTCATTCGAGATGCAATGGTAGGGTATTCATAACTTTTCTGAAAACTTTCAGGTCTACTACCCAAATGATGATAATAGTTTCCAGGTACGACATTGTGGCACAGTCTTCTGGTATGACAAGATACTTCTTGATATGCAGTATTCGAAAGTTCTAAAGCAGGAACATCAGTCTCTTTATTTGTATCGAATGTAGTTGGATTTTCTCCAACAGAATGCAGTTGTTTGATCTTTTGACCATCTTCAGAATCACTACTTTTGGTTTCAGTATTGTGAAATATTTCTATAAGTTTGCCTGGAAAACATAAAATTTTCTTATTTTCTTAAATAATGATATCAATTTTTCTAGCTTCCAAATGATTGTATTTAAAATTTTATTTACTACGCGTAGGCATACGTAAGTTAAAAACTAAGGAAAAACCAAGGTATTAATAATTTATAATCCAATAAATTTATTTAATAACATTATTGCTTCATACGCAAGGAGTACAAGTAGTATAAACTTATATACGTAGTATCATGTGCTAAAAAAATTATAAAAAATAAAATAAGTATTGCCTTTTTCGCAAAAAAATAGATTTTGGTAATCATGGTAGAGACACAAATGAAAATATATGTAACTGTAAATATAAATGAAAAAAAAGAAAGTATGTAAAATATGAGGATCAAGATTTATAAGTCATAAGGGAAAAAATGATTATTCTGCCCCTAACGTCCACTGCTAAACATAAACATCCACCTTTTGTTTTCGATCCCATGTTTAACGCACCGCTTTTATACAGTTTTAATTCATTTTCATTGAGTCATCAGTCCATCGTCCTGATAGTTGCCCGGCGCTTCGTTTTACCTCCATTTTAGCCTGGCGATTAGTTAAATTATGTCAGTCACCTAACTTCTCTTTTTATATCCTCGTTATTAAATCTATCTCTTACAGTTATTCCCGGATTACTCCATTTCCTTCTTTTTCACTCTCAGTTTAGTGAAGCTTTTATTAGGGTGAGTGTTTCTTCTCTATATATAATACTTTTAATAATTAATTTAATTACTACTGAACGACTGTAAGCAGATAGAGAAGATCTTATACGTGCAGCGAACACATGGTGTCGATGTCTTACGCCGTTTAAGAAACCCCTCGATGTTTCAGAAAACCAAAATCAGCTGTAGATGCGGTTAAACATATCTGAGATACTGTGAGGACCACAAGGAAAGAATGGGCCGTTTTAGTAATGATTGATGTAAAGAATGCCTTTAACTCTGCCAACTGGGAGCACATCATAAGCAAATTCGAATCTGCCAAAGTGTCGGGATATTTAAAAAATATTATAAAGAGATACTTAAGTAATAGATATCTTTCAGTGGCTAAAAACACAAAGATCACATTAACAGTCGACGTACCGTAAGACTCCGTATTAAGCCCGACGTTATGGAATCTACTGTATAATGGGGTACTAGACATCGATTACGATAGAAATAGCATGGCAATAGCCTATGCCGATGACGCGCGACGTAGCTATATTAGTAACAAGTGACACGTATTAGGAAATTGTAGACACTGTAAATGACTGCTTTAGTAAAGTAAATAGGTGGATGATGAATAACGACCTGGAACTTCCAGCCATCCAGAGAACAACACCCAATATAGGTGGTGGGCCTAGCAGCAACAAGACAAGATTGTACCTACACGTTGTACAAGCGACCCTCCTATATGAAACCCCCTTCTGGATAGATGTAGAGAATCGCTGGTACGCTCCCCATTCATCTCTTAGCCAAATAACGGCAGATATTATATGATAACCTGAACGGTCACTTACCCCAGGTAAGAGTGGCCGTACGAGATCAACCACTAGCAGAATGGCAGAGAGAATGAGAGGCACAGACTACAAAAGCGCAATGGACCAAAACGTTAATCACTGATGTGGTGGCTTGGTACAGCTGCAAGTTTAAACGAGTGAACTAGTATTTTAAACAATTTCTGACCGGACATGGATCTTTTAGGTCTTACACATACGCTATCAAGAAAACCTACGATGAGAGATGCTCTACTTGTGGAGAAAAGGACGACGCTGAATATTGCATCTTTTGATGTAATCTTTTCGCCCCCGAACAAAATAGGCTTCGTAACAAAATAGGGTTGACAACGCCCACCAACATTATACAGATAGCTATGATCAACAACGAGAACTTCGAAATCATAATAGATCACATAACGGAGAATCATGAAAAGAAAGACCATACTTGGAAGGGCTGAACAAGCTTAGTGAAAGAGGTTTTTCTCGGACCACACAAGGAGATACCTGTAAATAAATTTATCTTAATCTCATTTTTTTCTGATTTGAATATACCTATAGCAGGTACACCTGTTATCTACAAACAATATTTTTCCTAATTCTCTTTCACCTAATATACACAGAGTAGTTACACCGGATATATACGTAACACATATAAAAATAATAATCAAATAGACAACAATTAACACAGGTTTTTCGAACTCCTTTGCCCTTTTCCTTCCCGAAAAGGAATCATGCCGTTATTAGGTCTACATTGTAGGATAAGCCCTAAGACCTTCCACAAGGACACCCTTTCAGACTGCGCGGGATGTCTCCATGTTTTGTTCTCTAATAAACTCGTCAGGGGATATTCAGCATCAAAGAAGGGCTGGTTTTAGTTGGTAGGCGACCTGACAGGGGCGCACGATGGGGGCCCGGATTTCGTGTAAACTCTGTGCCGTTTTCGTGTGGTCCTGCCTTGTTGAATCCAACAGCACTAGGGACACCTTCTCTAGTTGGTTTCGAACTTTCCATCTCATTCATCATAAGCAGCCGTAATATGAAGTCAACTTTTTTTTAATGAATTCTACATACGATATCCGCCAACAGAACGGACTAGTGGTACAAGCTGGTTACGAGTCTGGATATAAAACAAAACGGCAGACGCCCCTGAAAACTGATTCGGCAACTTGACAACAATCCCGCTGCCTCTGTACATAATCTAAAATAAGTCACACTCAAGGGTCAAGTCACGTTGCCTCGTGACGGACGGGAAGATGAAATCAAGTAAGAACAATATGTACAATTATTTAACAATCGTTTGTTAGGTATTTATTTTTTATTGTTGGAGCCTTTCTTTGTTAACCGATATTGTCAGATTAGCCGTTACTAATATGTGGTCATTACTGCTACTGAACTAGTTCCATACAACTTCGGTTAATATTTCCCTTTGTTCGTGATAAAAAAGAAATTGATTTGTTTTTTTTTTGTTCTCACATCTAGGCTTTCTCGTATACGTATTCTGTGCTTTTAATTTTTTAGAAAAACTATTTATTAGATACAAATTATTTTCTAATAGCTTAATATTTTTTCACCTCTATTATTTCCAGGATTTTCTGTAATTTCTATTTTGACGCGAAAATGTCTACACATTATTATTTTTAAATCTAGGTATCTATCTTATATTTAGGTAGGCTACTCTGGTTGTTTATCGATAAAATATTGACAATGTTTTTGTATGTATATAAAGAAATCTATCTACACCTATACCTATAGGGGATGAATTCTCCTTTCCTTTTTACTATCTCAAGTAGTCTGATTGGAGTAGATTTTCTTCCTGATACCTACAATATCTTATTATATCTTTAATAGCTTCATTTCTGTTTCCTCTACTCTTTCTTTGGCAGCTAGTGATCGAGTATTAAAGGCCAACATGGCCCATTAAGCGCGGGTCATCAGAATATGAGTATTTATACACCTTGTGTTCCAGCTCAAAGAAAAATTTTGAAGTTTAATATTAAGAAAAGACCAGTTATTAGTGCTAATAATATTTAGTATTATTATTTACAATCGTATTTATTTTTTTGCAAAAAGTTTTAGAAATGCAAAGCTTTAAACTTACGGTCTCTATAGGATGATGTAGCCTTACCGCTTCCTAAAACATTTAAAAAGTTTAGTTAGAGCACAAAAGTCGTACCAGTTAAATATGGCATTGAAGTAAGTACAGGGGACAATTGGTAATAGGACGATTTTGAACCAAATAGTACACAAGAAATTTTCAAGAAAATACTATTTTATTAACATGAAAATGAGGCTTATAGCCATTTACAATCTAATTAAGTATGAAAAATAATGTCATCAAGATGGTGACCATCACGTTTGATGCAGTCTTCGATCCTCTTTATGAAATCCTCCATCATAACACGACCTAACATAGCTCGATTAATAGTCAGGATTTCCTGACTATTAATTCCCGAATTGTGTTATTCAACTCGTACAAATTACGAGACTTGCTAGCATCCATGACTCTTTAAATACCCCCATAGAAAAACAAATCACAAATTGACAGGTCTGAAGACCTTGGAGGTGACGGCAAATCTCCGAAACGTGAAATAAGTTGTCCTGGGAAGAGTTTGCCGAAATTATTCATTGAAGCATGGGCAGTACGTGTCGTGGCACCATCCTGCTAAAACCTCACATTCCTTGGGTTTATTTCTTTTCTACGTAGTTCTGGAACCAAACAATTTTGGATCATGTCAACGTAGCGAATAGAATTAACGCTGAATATTAAAGTGAGTGCGAAAAAGCTGCTGCGTAGTGATCACAGATTCTTGATTTCGTATGCAAACGTGCGATGTTCTACCGTCCACTGCTCCATATTTACTGAAATGGCACACGTCTTACACGTCTACCGAGGTAGTAACGCCGCGCTTTTCCCACTCTCATCCCCTCAAGCTTCGTACTATGTTTTCTAAAAACTTACAGCTCCCGATTGTCACCCTGTATATATAATATAAATTTTAGCATAACATTTTAGCCACTAAATTGTAAAAAATCATAATTGAGTTTTAACTAAAACACTGTTGCCAGGTTATGATTTTAAGTTATTTATTAATTTTTATATAAATGGTTTACATACAGTCAAATAGTCATATAATAACGGAATTGTTAAAGTATCTAATAAAACATGACAAAGCTGATCAATAAAAAATTACACTAGATTATGGAAGCCTGTCAGAAAGAAATATATAATCCATTCTTGACGTTCACTTGATACCAGGTGGCAAATCGTTTGCGCTTGTACAAAATGGGTGTACATATGTAAAATTATGAATATAATTTATTCAGTGCATGAGCACTGTATTACATAGGGCTGGTTCAAATAAATTAAGATAAGTAGTAAATGGTTATACAGATTATAGCAAATCAAGTTTATAAAAAGTCTTAACAATATTTCTACTGCACTAACACTCGCAGTATCTACAGACTTTGACTCGGCGTTGTTAGTCGCACAAAGAAACTGTCTTTACCGGTTTCTGAATACGTGTCTCGTGATACTAACACTGACATTACAATATAGAGCACATTTGAGTCTGCATACGATTTAGTCAACAGTAGAAAAATAGTCTGGTGCTAACGATAGTCAACAGGGAAGAGAGTCCGTCTGCTGCTAGTGAAACTCAGCAGGTGAGAGAGAAAGACTGTTCCTAGCGATAGGCAACAGGCAAGAAAGAGTCTTTTTCGTTTTGCTATCTTACAACTGTCTGTATTTCTAATGGAGTGGGATTGAAGTGGAAGTAAGAAGCATTACCAAAGGTTGGACTAGGGTAAAATTTGTAAAATTGTGGTAAAATGATAGTAATTAATACAAATTAAAAATGACATGATTTTTCGAATGTGCAAAATTGAACAGAACTATTAAAGTGAATTTTAAAAATTTATATTTTTATGTACCAAAAATGTTTTTTACAAAATCTTTACGTTTTTGTATGTTTTTTGTAAAAACAGCCACAAAGAAGGCTGGATCTACCCGAGGAAATGAATGCCACACGTATAAAACATTTCAAAAAAGTAGTGAATATGAAAATGCGAGTGAAAAGTAAAAAAAGGTAAAACATTTCGGGGGTCTCACACACTTCCAACGATAATGTTCTTTAAATGATAATGAAACAGTGAAATTCAACTGCTGAACATTACAAACAGAAAAAAAAAGAGTGGTTGGATACAAAATTAGAGGACCGAAATACTATTTACTACGCCTTATCATAACGAAAAAGTGAAAAGTAAAAGATGGTTAGCGAGTAAAAAGCTATGTTGGCTATGCAATATTAGACAACGGAGCAATAAAGCAGCTGAAAAACTATTTAACAATAAAACACTGAAAACTATTTTGGCTTGGGTTTACAAATTTATAGTCTCTAATGAAATACGTTGAGGAGGGGAGAACTGTTTGTCTTAAGTTGGTCATTCATAATTATATCCGTGTTTTTTAATTTGTTGATTTCCATAGATTCTAACAAAGATAGCTTAAGGCCTTTATTTTGAATGTGAAGAATTTTAAATTTGTCATTAAAAGAATGATTGTGATCTAGAAGGTGAGGTGCGTATGTCGAATCTGTTTTTCCATTCTTGAAAGCCCTTTTATGTTCTGCTATTCGTTTATCAAAGTTTCTACCAGTTTGACCGATGTAAGTTTTTGGGCAGTCGCCACATTGAAGTTTGTAGACACCACTATTTAAGTGTTTTTTTATTTTGGCTCTTGTTATTTTTAATATATTTGCCTAGGTTGTTATTTGTTCGGAAAACTGGTGTTATTCCTTTCTTTTTTATGTGTTTGGCAATTTTTGTTGTTATTTTGCCTGTATATGTAATCGAGCAAAAGGTACTGGGTTTTTCTCTGGTGGTGGAAATACTACTGTAGTTGGTGGAATGACCAACTTGAGACAAACAGTTCTCCCCTCCTCAACCTATTTCATTAGAGACTATAAATTTGTAAATCCAAGTCAAAAATAGATCACTTGAGAAAGGCAATCAGCCGAAACAGCTGTAGTGATAAGATTTAAAATAAATTTTGTGGAAGTTTGAAAACAAAGTTCAGTGTTTTATTGTTACATAAAATGAATTTCCATCAAGTAACGGTCGAATCCATAAATTATGAAAAACTATTTCTGCAACAGCTGATAGAGAAGCATTCGAAAATTTTACAAACATGCGTGATCGTAGACATGGTACTTCAAAAAGAAGAAATCTCTTTTTTTTTTGCTTTTTTGTCATTTGTTGTATCTTTTTGTGTACCTAGTAATGAATCGTTTTTTATGATTTAAATTTAGATTCTGTAATTATTGTTGAAATAGTATTGCCTAAGTTGCTCCCTTATGAAGGAATTTTATGGTATATTTAATGAATAAATATTTAAATTATTCAGACAACCGTTTATTATGTGACTAGATTACGTATGTGTAGTTGGTTGGGTTTTGTTTTTCATTTACTTACTTGATCGTATGAAAGGTGTTAATTTCCTAGCCATTTCTCTAGGAGAATACGAGGCGCTCGTAGCCCTTCTATCGACTTTAACAGTCCTTTTGAAGGTTTGGAAAGAAGTTTGCTTCTTAATTCCCATTTTATTGTCTTTAAATTTCTTTTTTGTCAGTTTTATATGGGATACGCTACGGTTGTTCGAATTGAAATTCTGAATCTTATTAGTTGATTGCTGCAGGTAGGAAGTTGCAGGTAAATCTTCAGGTATATTATTTTTAGCTGAAAAAATAGTTAATTTTAACCCATTACTTAATATAAAGTTGTTATGTTAAATTATACAGTCAGTAACAGACTTAACTGTCATAAACTAGTAACGAATTATTTAAAAATTATAAGTCGGGCAATTTTCAATTAAAGGTGACTAATCTACAAATTGTACTAAACGGTAGCGGCAACCATGTAAAATTTCAGCAGTAAATTCTTACCGGGTTCATTTTTATTGTGTATGCTTCGCCCATATAAATAAGTTAAAAAATAGTTAAAAAAGATATATTTGCGCCCGTAACACTATAAATTGGTGCGATTCACGAGTGCATAATTAGACAAGTTCATTGAAACATCGGTAAACTTATCAATATTTTGCTGGTCTAAGTAAGTCAGTATTTTCGCAATCTGAATCTCCTTCTAACAAAGCTATTAACTCTCTAATAGTTAGTGCCATCTTCATTTCATATTTCAAGAATTTACTGAAATAAACGAATGCACTACTATATACACGCATGCACATAATAGTTTAGCTTACTTCATTTTAATTTATATGAAATATAAAACAAATAAACACAAGAAAACTTTCAAATCAAGTTAAAAAACAAATATAACGTTGACAGCACACAGCAATTCTATAAATAGAGAATGATATGTAATTTCGAGATCGTATGTTAAAATTTCAGATTGTTTATAGTCTACTGAAAAAAATTAATACTTTCCAAAGTTTTCTGTTTTTTGAAGTTCTGTATTAAGAATAATAATAACTCTCTAATAAGAATAAAATTTTACTTTATTTTGTTAGACAACTTTAAGATACCTGTTAAAAGACACATGAAAATTTAATAATTATATCGGTCTTAGATTTAATTTTTACGTAATTACTTATGTGTTGAAATAAATAATTAAATTTTTTTGGTACGACTCTGCAAAATTGATAAGTGGAATATGATTTCATTAAAAAGTTATCGTTAAGGGTATCATTAAGTGCGATGTTGCCAAGTAATCACCTTCAATTAAAAATTGTTTTAGTTTAGTTGAGATTTTCTTTTTATAGATTGCAATAATTTTGATACACCAGTAATATAGGTATCTACGTAATCTGTTGATGTATAAAATAATATAACTAAGAGCGCGTAACTTTTTAGAAAAGTTTAAAACTTGCAACCGACATAAAATTTCTCATTTTCAAGAGCGACAAAAGCGTAAACTCGTACCATAAAAATAGCACAAACGCCTAAAAGATCCTGTAAAATTAAAATATGATTTAAAATTAAAATATCATTTAACAGTACATTTGACGACTATAGTGTCAAATATGCATGACGCTCTTGCGCATGAGCACCCCGGTAGTACTATTCGTAGTATAGTATCTAGTAAGTGTTCTACTATAACCTACATTGATGAAGCAACCAGTTATAACCTTTGGAAACTACGATAGTAAGGAACTAGTAGACAAGCACCGAAAACGTTTAAAACTCCAGCAGGTAGACATTATTGTAAAACAATTAATTTAAATAAAAAAGGGCATTCATTTTATTTTTAAAATAAGATACCTTATACAAACTTATAGCAGACATTAATAGTGATGAAATTTTGCTAAACAAAAAACAAATTGTAGAAAATTTTGAACGAATTAGACTTGGTTCGGCACGATAGAAAGCACGATAGAAAATATGTACTTATAGAGAAAGACGAAACAAACGATATTTAAGAAAAATTTGGTAAGATACATTAGTTACAGTTGGAACAGAGGTGGTAAAGATCTTCGTTTGATTATCACTCATACTGCAGTAGATAAAAAGAATTTGAAACTCTACGAAAGACCACCATGAAAAAATTACTTCTGATAATGTTAAAGATTATTTTGGTCAAATGATTAGCGAGGAACGAGCTCTTAGATTGGTTAGTAATGAAAGAAATGAAGGTAGAAGAAGGGGTATCTAAAAAGAGTTTTTATACTTAAATTATATTTACCAAAATTAAGAAGTATGCTATAAGTAGCTGAAGTAGCAAAAGAACATAGTTGCAGTGTAATCATTACCACCTTATCTCTGCGAAGTTAACACCATTAAACTAACCTGGGCCCTAATAAAGCTATATACCTCGAGAAGTAGTCCTCCTATTACAAAAAGAAGTAATTTGTAAACTCGATACAATAGAATTATTATCAGCACTACTATCGACAGGCAAGCCCGGAAGTAGAAATAGTAAGCTTCTTTGCATATTGTTTGGGGTCCCAAAATTGACATTTTACCATGAATTTATAGATAAACTAATATTGCTATCGTATATATTGATATATTATCATAAAGCACCTGGCCATAATGCTAAATTCATTAGAAATTATTTGAGTGAAAAATTTCATAATCGGTGGATTGGAAATTATGGTCCTGTTAGGTGGCCTCCTCATTTATCAGAACTAAATAGTCTTGATTTTTTATTAAGATATGTTTACTATTTTAATGGGGATAAGCTACAATTAAAGTTCAAAATAAGTTTATTGACCTTTCAATTTCCACTTAGGAAATCGTTCTCAAAAATACAAACATTGATAAATTAAACAAATTTTGTTTTTGGTTACTTGGTAAAAAATTCTTCTAATAATTTGATTTTTCAAACTCATTTATATTGACAATTCAGACATGTATTACACATTTTAAAATAGACGACTTTAAAATGATATTGCAAAGGATTATTTGGAGATAGTTTATTTAACTACGTAATATTAATTTTGTACCAAAAATATCTATCCGATAAAAGATAACAGTAGCATGTCAATGCTACTGTTTTTTTTATCGGATATCTCTCTCTCTCTCTCTCTCTCTCTCTCTCTCTCTCTCTCTCTCTCTCTCTCTCTCTCTCTCTCTGTGTGTGTGTGTGTGGGGGGTGTGTGTGTGTCGTTCACAAACTTACAATAGACTAAAAATATGAAAAAAAATTTAGCGTAACAAAATAACATGTTAAAGACGGTCAAATAAAGGCATTATTTTATAATCATGTTTGCTCTTACAGAAACGAATAGAAAGAGTTAACCATATTTTTAGATTGATAATATTTTAACCAATAGAGATCAAAGTTTTAAGTTTTTTTTTGTATAAAGCTGTAGGTAATAAGTAGTAATAAATATACCTGCTAATTTTCTGGGTGTGTCACTTATAACATGAAGTTCAGAGAGTCTGTTGACAGAATCTGATATTCCCGATAAAATGTTGTTAATTGTCCTAACTGCTGCTCCAGTATTATCAGTTCCAATCACATTAGATGTTTGTGCTTTGGGTTGCATAACAGCCTTCGGCGGTGGTGATTTTACGGAAACTGATGAACTTGATTGATTAAACGTATCGTCATCTGAAAATCAAAAATAATTGTACAATAAGAGCTAATTCTAGTTTTCTTTTTGGAAAATTATACAGTTTTAATATGTGCACTGATAATTAAATAAAATCAATTTTGATAAAATGAATTGCAAATATCGAGCACAGTTTTAAATAATTAAATCTTGCCCAAGTACTTTCGCTTCTTAGAGCATCTTCATACATTCTCTCTCCTGTTGCCGACCAGAAAGTAGCTTTGCCTATTTTTACATAATTTTAAACTGTTTGTTCTTCTTTAGTGTTGTGTTATGTACAATTTTATGTTCATGACATTCTGCAATTATTGGATAGCTCAAAATTCACGAAATGCCCCTGAAGATGCTCTAGGAAGCGAAAGTACTTGGGCAAGATTTAATTAATAAAACTAATATTATTACGTACCGCAAATTTAATAATATGCTACGGTACACGATATTTATAATAAAATTGAAAAAATAATCTTAATATACCATACCACATATAAAATAATATATAATAATATGGACCTCATTATTTATTCAATTAAATATATGTACTTAAACTTAAGCACATAATTGAATTAAAATAATAATTTTTATTAAAATAAACTTGTGTTTAATTTAAAATCGATATTAGAGATTTGTGAATCTAGTTTTTGTCGCGACATATTTTGCAGTCAAGGTTCTTTGCGTGTTATATTTAAAAATTCCATTAAAAAATTTGACTCAGAACAATCCAATCAATCGTTTTATCAGTGGACTCGCTTAAGACTCGGTAACTTTTTAGCGGAACCTGGTCAAGATTTATTAAAATTAGATCGTTCTGAGTCAAATTATTTAACGAATTTTTATATATTATATCACGTTGGAATTTTGACCTAAAAACTTATCTTAAACAAAAACTGGATTCTTACATCACTAATTAACCAAATATACCATTTCGCTGCAAGCGAAGACGAATCTATCATGACTGCAACTTTACCAGCTGAACTACATAGTATTTTTTAACTTAGTTTAATTATTTTTATAATTATTGTTTTGAGGACGGGAAATATTTTGTTTCAAGTTAGAGCAACTGACGTCTTTATACACTTAGTATTTGTTTTAACAACAAATTGTCAGCCATAAAGGATGTAGGCTTAATGTTTTAATCATTGTTTTTGGACCCCTCTCCATATTGGCAACCACATTTTATTGGTGTGTAGTTTTAATTTACTAATTGCTATTTTTGGACACCCAATATTTGTAGCCACAGGGTACAAATATTGGGTGTATCCACCATCCTCTGTATAAACTTAATCACCCTAGTTTTAATTTCTTTTGAAACACATTTGAATAAATTTTACTAAAGGAGACTGTATTTAGAAAACAAACTATGGAAAACTACTGTGCAGAATGTTTTTCAAAAATTAAGCAGGGGTTAGAGGGCAATTGATTATACATTATCGTAGAAGAAACGACAGATGTATAAATAAGAAATATAGCTTATTTTTTTTGTATTTTCTAAGTAAAGATTTGCAGTCTGTCCTCTTTGAACAATAATCAAATTTGATAATTCGAACAGAGAAATTAACATAAGCGAAGAATACTTGCCGGTGCTGATATCTTTCTTATTAAATTTAACTAAAATTATTATTTAAAAAAAAAATTATTTCTTATATTCTAAACCATTTACTTATGAAAATCTATTTGGTGAGTCCAAGGGTTTGTGTCCAAGTTTTCTCACTTCCCTGCTGTTGTCCTGTAGGTTTACCGCACTAGTATTTAAGTCAATTGCTAACCGCTTTTAATGCCTATCACTACACTGTTTTATTTCTTCGCGCACAACACTCACTGAGAGATCACGATGTATGACTTCATTAGGTAGTATGGTGTATTATCAATCTTCCTAAGGACCTTCGATTGGAACCTCTGCAGGATTTCAATATTTGATTCGCTTGCACACTCCCACAGTTGAATGCCATAGGTCCAGATGGGTTTTAGAATTAGTTTATACACTAATAATTTAATTTTTAGTTATAGTTCATATCTTCTTAAGTAGCAACTCATGCTCTAGAAAGCTAAGTCTTAATTTTATTCAGAGTTGTTTACGTTTATTGAAGATGAGGTTTCTCCAAGTAAGTCGTCTATCAAGATGAATATCAAGGTATTTTGCACTATCGGATTGCAATATATCTTGAGTGTTGCCAAGGAACACTGATTAGAAGTGGGTAGGTCGGCCGTGTATAATAGATATAAGAGTGGATCAAGCACACTATCCTGAGGTACGCCAGAGTTTATAGGTCTTAATGCTGTTACTATCGTACCCTATTTTATCTGAAAATGTCTGTCTGTTATGCAGGATTTAAATACCCTATAGTATTTAGATGGTAGTTGTTAATTTTATACAGCAAGTCTGTATGCCACACTTTATCAAAAGTTTGTGTGATGTCCAAGGAAACTGTAGAACAATAGCGCTTTTTCTCCAAATCCTGATTTATAATTTTAACAACTTTATGCACTTGCTCAACTGCAGCTTGTTTTTGTCGAAAAACAATTTGGTAGTCAGGGACTAAGTAGTTTTCTTTTAGGAAAGAACTTAATTTCTTTATTATTAATTTTTCAAGAATTTTAGCAAGAATTGGTAATAAACTAATGTGTTTATATGAAGTTACACATTCTAAAGGTTTGCGTATTTTATAGATTAAAATACCCTGACCACTTTTCATTGTGAAGAAAAATATTCTAATCTTAATACTGCTTAATACTACTAAGAAAATCGCATTTTGTGGTAATTGACAAAAGACGAATCCAGTAATCAGCTCATAACTAGGAGCTTTCTTTTTATTAGTGTTAAGTATTGGGTGAATAATATTGGTTTATCTAAAAGTTTAATCGACAGAGACATCTGGTATGGGCAGTCCAAATATCTATGAATATTTTTATGTTTCTCTCGTTGTACCTCACAGAGAAATGAAGTAAAGTGGATTAGTGCATGCCCAATATTACTAGATTTGATAGGTGGTATATGTTATTATGATCGAAAGAATTTTTTGTTAGTCTTCCACAGGGTGTAATTTGTGGCTTCTTATGGCGATAAATCTCTTAGATATTTTACAGTTGATGTATTTTTTAGATCACTTAGCATTTTTTTAGGTCTTCTGCTGATTTGTTAAATGCAGCTTTATTGGTCGGTGTTGGATTGTTTTGCCATGTCTTTCTAAGTTTTTTCTTTTTTCCAAATTTTTGTGTAACGGCCTCAGAACCCCTTGTTAGGTTTATTACTGGTTGGTAGGGTAAATTCCCAGCACGCTTTGTGTATACATATAGTTAGATGATTTGCAGCAGTATCTAGATTACTTTCTTCTTTTAGATATAAGTTTATGTTAAAGTTATTAGTAATGGTTTCTTGAAATAAAGTCCAATTGGATTTTGATGAATAAAGCATATAAGATCTAGGTAAATAAATTATTTCAGAAGACAGGGTAAGAAATAATGGTGAGTGATCGTATGTTATGTCGAAGCATGATTTAGTTGTTAGGTGATTATCTGCTATACCTTTGGTTATACAGAAATCAATGAAATCTGGAAGTTTTCTTCTGTCTGTTAGCCAACATGTAGGTTCACCTGTAGAACAAAACTTTTAAAGTTTTTAATTTAGTTGTCTGTCACGTGCGTTAATCAATCTAGAGCCCCAAAAAGGACATTTCGCATTGTAATCACCACCGGCTCGGAACCTTGATCCAAGGCTCTAAGATCCAAGATCCAAGGCTTGATTTAAAAAATTCAGAAAATTGATTTGTTTTTATTGTGTACTTGGGAGGGCAGTATAATGATGATATAGTGAATGGCCCACTCCAGTCTTTATTTACTATGTTTGTGGCCTGCAGGTATGTTATTTCATTGCCTGTAGTTTGGAATAGTTTATATGTACTGCTTTTGATAATTGTGGCAGAACCTCCGTGTGCAGTATTATGAGGATGGTTTGTGGTATATAAAATTATCGTTTAGCATTTTCCAGTAACTTTTACCTGTAAAGTGCCTTTCGGAAATAAGAATTATACTAATTTTATTTGCAATTAAAAATATTTTTAACTCTTGACTGTGTTGAGCCATACCGATAGCGTTCCATATTGCTAGTTTACGTATAGCTAATTTAAGGCTTGAAATTTTAAAAGAAAAATTTAACAAAAACAAATAATTTAACTATAAGTAGATTTATATAAAATAGTTAAATAAACTTCTTTTTGCCCAACCCTATACCATTAAATAAAATACTTTTTATGCTTTTAGATGCTGCGCTATATAATATGTCAAAAGCTGCTTTTAACTTAAGCATTGTAATTATTCTATAACTTTTGTGAAAACTTTTTCGTAAAGGCTCTGTTGAGGATGCGAGTATATAAAGAAAGACTTCCCGGTGTCACTCTCTGCCATCTAAACCAGTAATTCAAGGTGAAAAACGTGGCTGGAAGCAGTTTTCTTAACCTTGAACACTGCAATGAAATAGATTAGTAATGCCAGAATTGGATGATGATATTTTCGAAGCCATTCGAGAAACAAAAAAATATATTAAAAAATCCAAAGTTGAAAGAGCAACCAGATATTAATATCAATATTTATAAATTAATAGTTACTACAATTACTTTATTAGATAGACAACAGGTAAATATATTAGTGACTCAGTAAAATTAGTAGATAATTTATGGTCAAAAATTAAATTAAAGCCTAAACGTAATGGCCAACTACTTTTCAAAATATTAAAATATGTTGTTCACAAGAATAAAGGTTTTTAGTTTTTATTCAATGCTGTTAAAGTTATAAATGGAATATTTTGCGAGGAATTGCAAATTGATCGAGATTTATTATTGGCCCTGAAAAATGCTCCAGTTACATGTCTAGATATAGAATGTTCATTTTCATTGTACAAATTAATTTTACATGATCGAAGACATAGTTTTAAGACCTAAAATATTAAAAAGTGGTTAATTGTAGCTTTTAATGATAAAATTTAATAAATCAATAACTCATGATGATTTTAACTCCTATTTGGAAAAGGAACCTGAAGAAGTAGAATCATATCTATTTTTTGATAAAATATTTAGTTAAAATACCTGATGTTTTTGACAAATCTGGACGCACAGAAGAAATCTTTCTATTCTTTTTTTGTGTGCCGTAAACTTGTTTCATATAGTCCAGTTGACCCTTTAAATTGTTGCATTTGTTTTCTGCCATCTCCAGCTGCTCTCCAATATCTAAAAAAGTGATAACATTAAGTTTCTTAAATATTATTTATATCTATACAACACTTGAGTGCAAAACAATCGACTCAAAAGCGATATTTGAGATTACACCTTCTGTTTTGAGGTAAGAAGTATGAAAATAACAAGATGTAATGTGTAAGCAGTAACTTTATTATTTTACTTACAAAAACTGCTATTTCATTATTTGGAAACGCTTCATAAAAACAATAAGCAATACGAACAGAGTTTCGCAAATATTCATCATTAAAACTATTCCAAGAAAGACGTAAAAACAGAGAAATCATCAATTACAAAATTAATTTTTTGTTTTTTATTATCTGATATTACCACCCCTATTCCTAATTACACTTTCCAATCGATTTCGCATAGATCGGATGACTTTTCTAATAAATTCTTTAGGCATTGCTTCCCATTCATCATTAAGTGCAGCTCTCAATTCCATTATGCTTCTTGGTGCATGATTTCTACTCCGGACCCTTCGTTTAAGCTCATTCCAAACATGCTCTATTGAAATTATGTCAGGGCTTAACGCAGACCAATTTATTGTAGGTATACCTATCTCAGTCAGATAGGTGCAATCATGCAATAAAATAAAGGCATTACCAATAAATCCCGCATATGGAACCACATGTTCCTCCAAAATATCTCTGATGTAACGATCCGCCGGTAAACCTCCTCCACGTCCCCCCAGCAGGCACGAAAACCAGCTCGGTTTTCCCATCCATGGAAATGCCTGCCCAAAACATACAAGAACCGCCTCCGTATGACACAATTTCTCGTATACAACATTAAGCAAATCGTTCCCCTGGCCTTCTATAGACTCGACGCCTCTTGTCGTTGCCATGTAGGCTGATCCTACTTTCGTCGGAGAATAATACCTGACTCCATTGATAGTCGTCCCAATCCAGATGTTCGCGAGCAAATTCTAGTCATCTTTGCTTCTGGGCTGCACTTAGCTTGGGACCAGTAGCTGGTCTTTTTGGTGTCAGGTTGGCTGTTTTTAGTCTCCTTTTGACTGTTCAAATTCTGGTAACCACACCTCTGACATCTCTAAGCTCTTCTTTGAGATTAGCACCAGTCAAAATGTCGATTTCTCAGAGATTTAGATACAAGAAATCGATCATCTCTCTGTTGTTATTCGTTTAAGACCTCCTCCTTGTCGGCGGACATAATCACCAGTGTCTTGGTACCGACAATACACTCGGGACACAGCAAATTGGCTTAAATTTAGTCGATTTGTAACGGCTCTCTGGCTCAGGTCTTCTCTCAATAATGCTACTGCTTGAGCTGCTTTGACGGATGTGGTATCCATTTGTATGAAGTTGCGAACTTAATTGACTGATGTATTAGTAGGTTGCTATGAAAATTGATGCTTACGATGTTAACCAAATGTGTTAAGTGGGTGTGTGTCGATTTCAGTGGGTCAAATTATGACCCCTTCTCTATGTGTTGCATTATTTATTTGTAATACGTCACCCTATTTACCAAAAATCAAAACTTTTTTTAAACTCAATAATAAGGTTAACAATTTTACACTAAATATTTTTAAATTAACACCTTTTTTGATTGAAACAAAAGACGTAATTTCGCAAAATAATTTTGAGTAATTTTTTTGCACTCAAGTGTATTTATTAAGTTAAAATATCGTAATATTTTTATTGTCATCTACATTTAATGTTGTTAATTTTTTATTTAAATATACATTATAACGATTTTACAACTTCGGACAAATACAAGGGTAACATAATTTCTTAATAATGAATGATCACTTCACTTGCTTGTACAAAGAATGATTTATATAAACGTTGAAAAAAAAACATTTAGTTTCAGGCGACAAATATTTTTAAATTTAGTTAACTTTTTTTTATTTAATTAATGGGTTTGGATACTTGATCCATTCAGCCACGATATTGTATTTGACTACTTGATTTTGTTAATGATTTATTGACCTATTGCATTTGTTAACAAAATTATACTTCGCATAGAAATTTAGTTAAGTAATGAGACATATTCATGTGTTTTAATGTATCCCTACGGTGATATTTCTGAATTAGAATTATCACATAATTTAAAACAGCTCAAATATTATAGCTTAGATATTATTCATACATATTTATGTATAATTCTGCCTGTAATTTTGTTGAGTGGATCGAGTAGCTCCAGAGAAATGTGAGGAGGGGGTCTACAGCCAGGTCAGCACACTGCTGATAAACTTTAACACCATACAGCCCATACAAACAGTATTATGCCTCAACAAGACAACGAAGTTGGGATAAACGAGAAACGTACTTCGCATCGGCATTTAGAACGTAAAGGGCGAAGAAAAAAGGAAAGGGTCAAATTATGCTGGATGACTATCTGATGATTTACAATGGTGTTGTGAAAGAAGGAGTCGCCCTGTTAGTACACAAAATTTTTTTATATCAAGTACAAGAACGTAAATATATCTCTGAAAGAATAGTGTAAAACTGGATATCAAACCTCTGAATGTAATAGCAATCTATTTATCAGAGAATAACAGAAATACCACCATAAGGGAAATAATTGCGTGTCCGCGATGATATAGTTCCAGGAATAAAACAGCGATATAATAAAAATATAAAAAATTAAAATGGAGACTTTCTGATGGATCTCTGCAGCATAAACGAAATACGTAATAATAATAATAGATTTTTCCCTCACAAACAACAATACAAATAAATTTTTAAAAACAGTAAGGAACAAAGATCTATGATATATTGTACTCTATAGAATAGAGAGTTACATCCCTATTAAATCTTGGATGTAAGAGCTCTAACATCAGCAAAAATAGGAAGCGAATATAAATTGGTATTGTGCATAAAAGTCAAAAGCTTACAGGATGACTCCACAAGATACCCATTCCAAAAAAAATAACCGAAAAAAGCAGAAACGCCTACATCATAGAAAGCGATGGGATTGAAGAAAGTTGGGCAAAAATTAAGTCTAATATCTTAACCTTTGCCAAGAAAGTTCTTGATAAAGAAAATATAAATAAAAATAAATCGTTTCCAATGTGAAGAACTCCATGGTTTTGTACAGAAGTAAAGGAAAAATGTAAAGATATGAAATACATTTCAACTAAAACACAAGCGGCATACCATAATTACATGACAATAAGAAACATAATATATCCACTTGTAAGAAAAATAAAAAAATTGATCACAGGGAATTCCTAATTGAAAGAAATAGAACATGATGTTTATGATCTGCTAAAGAAAATATGGCGCTTTAAAAAAGTTCAAAAAACGGATGTTAAGGAACTAATAGAACCATAACACATAGAGAAGCATACATGGATTGACTAGCTAAAAAAGCTCTATGCAAAAGAAGAACAAACAACGTTAGAGCCGGAAACACGAGAAATTAGCACAAATGAAGAACATATTCAAATGATGAATGTGTTGCTTGTGTGAGTCCATTTCAAATAGGTAAAAAAGAAATAAATAAGACTTACAATCAGTTTAATTTAACTATCTAGACGACCGGTTTCGCTTTCTACAATTTACAAATCATCTTCAGGTCAGTAGAACATATTATAAATACACAAGGATTTCGTAAAATACTTGAAAAGCTGAAGTACAGAAAAGCAACGGGTGAAGACGAGATACCAAACGAATAACTGAAATATTGTGGAGAAGCAATTAATAACATTAATTAACCAAATTATAAAATACAATTAAATACAGGAAGAATGGAGAACAAGCGAAGTAAATCTACAATTTAAAAAAGGATTTAAAAAACAGCCAGAAAACCAGAACAGATAAACTTGTTAAATACTACCCTAGAATTTTGAAAAAGTAAGACTCAAAGACATCTTCTCTATATTTGGAGAGTTTCCCTAAATATATAAAAACTATTGAATTGAATATCTACCAAAACAAAAAAATGGATATCAAAATAAATAAATAACTTACAGAACCTATATAGAGACAGCGAAATAAGACTCATTGAGTCCTATTTTCTGCAACTGAATTATAAATGAAATCTCAAAGGAGTTAACAAAGGAAGAGGATACAGCATAAGAAACAAAAAAGTAAAAATACTCTGTTCCCATGGACCTAGTCACAAATGAGGAGGTCTTTGGAAAAACGAAGAAGAAACGAGAAGTACTGACCACTATCAAATGTTGAACGTTACAATACTTTGGACACATTAGATAAATAGATAGATTTAGTTAGGTGGTCTTTTGGCCTATCCTACTGCGAACTTTTCAGATCTATTGTGGTCCTCTAGTCCTAGATAACATTCTCTAGCCTGAACCTTTTTAAAAAATCTAGCAGCTTCGAGGCCGTACCTTCCATGTAGCTATTTGCCGGTGGAGTTCCTTCTCCTAATGCAAAGAACCGCACATTTACCAAACTGTCACACTAACATAGAATATGCTCTGCTGTTTCTTCTTCGAGGTGACATAATCTGCACAGGTCAGCATTTAATAATCCCATCAGCTTAAAGTGCCTATTTAGCTTACAGTGCCCTGTTAGAGGACCTACCATGGCTTTGACTGTTTTCCTGTCTTTGCTTATTAGGTCTACTGTAAATTTTGGCAAATGTTTCGTAATGAACTGTTTCGTCTGTCTTTGTTCTAGTGAATTTCTTCTCCATTCCAGAGATTTGTGAGCTGGCCACTTCCTGGTATCCGTTCTTGTTACTGTCTTTTCAACGCCACAAAAGGGTTCCGGTTCAACGAATGGCATGTCCAACGATATGATCCTCGTGTTCCGATACCCAGGATACCGTAAGCTTGCTAAAATCCCATATTAGCTTAGAATTGACCTCTACAGAATTAAGTACCTTAAGCGCTACCTGACTATCCGTGAATATGACATCTGAACAAAACGTTCTTTCCTGCCTTTTTATTTCATCCACGCAGTAATGGATTTTCGGTATTTCCGCATGGAAAACTATCACATCCTAAGATAGACTTACCGGGAAATGTATCCCTTGATTTGTCCCTACTATGCCGGCTCCCACACCATCCGATTTTTGTGAGCCATTCAGTAGAAACTTCATTCTAGTCTTACCTGTCTGGTATCTTAATTATAAACTTATTGTTAAAGCTATATCTCGTAGCTGTTGCATCGATAGGTTGCCCAATTAAAATATCGGCTTTTAACTCTTCGATTAGCTTTCTGTTGTCTGCACCATATATCTGGCTTATATGTCGCTGACTATGAATTAATCTGTGCATCACTGATCTGCTTTCGCCCTGTATAAAGACATGAAGTTGTGTTAGATTCAACAGGACTTCCAACGCTGTTGTAGGAGTTGTTTTTATGTCCCCAGGCATGCCAGCCTTTGTGTATTACCTAGCAGCCATATTGCTTCCACTTGCTGCGTCTTTGTCCACTACCTCACCGAGCTATAGGTTATCGTTGGTCTAATAATCCTTGTATATAACTATAGTAATTTTGGGGTTAAGTCGCCAATTCTTACCACAAATTCTTCTACATCTGTACAGAGACATCGTAGCTTTTTGTGTGGTTTTTCAAATGTGAGTATTCCATATAACCCTATGATTAAAATACACCCCAAGTTATTTTGTTTTTTTTTTAGCAACTGAAATCTATGTTCTTTTCAGCACCGGCAAAGTTAACGATTTGTGTTTTCTGAGCATTGACTGTAAGTCTCTCTTGTTTACACCAGTCCTCAACTATATTTAGGGCTGCTTGCATTCTCTCAGACACCAACTGAGCAAACCCGCCCCTAACAGGATTGCTATATCGTCAGCATATTCTAGACAGTAAAAGCTTTTGTGCACAGATTTCTGAGGGAACCAAGGTTTCCCAAAGTAGAGGGCACAGATGTCCTCCTTGTAGACAGCATCCACCTACTTTTGCTTTGATGGTTGGTTTACACAGTGTGGATGTAACCGTCCTATTCTCCAGGGATGCGCTTATACATTTGCATATTACCGCAGTTGCGCCTCATCTACTCATAGCGCCTATTAAAGAGCTGGTAGTAACATTATTAAATGCTTCTTCTATATCTAAAAAAGCGGCCGTTGCTATCTCTTTGTCTTCCATTGTCTTTGAGATAAGCCTATTTAGATCATCCAACGTACAGTCCGCATATTTACCAGGTTGATATGCATATTGGCGATTTCTTAAAGGATTATCTTTTACCACTTCGTCGTTGATGTACCTATCAAGAAGCCTTTCTAGCGTTTTTATTGGAAAAGAAAGTTGGCTTATCGGTCTATATGACTTTGGTGTTAAGTCTAATACTTTACCTACCTTAGGCAAGTATATGATCTTAATATTTTGCTATATTTCCGTTACGTCCCCCCATTCTTAACTGGCTTTAAGGAGCTTGCATAGGTGTGGTATTAATACCTCTAATCCCATATGCAACAGTATTGGATATATGACATCTATTCCTTGAGATTTATATATCCGAAACTTATTTATACACTTTGGTGAAAAAGTAAATTTGTCATTAGCTTTCTTTAGGAAACCTACTTCTTTAGTTATAGAATCATCCTTTGTCAGGACTTTATGAATTCGAGTACATGCCGGGATATTTGTAATCTCCTCGCAAAACGCTCTACATGAATTCCTTTTGGGTTTTCGAATTTCTTTATTGTATAGCGTTAGCTTATACCTGTAGGCATTCCAGTTTGGGTTACTTTTGACTTTGTTCAATAGGCTTCGGACTTCCGACCTTATTGTTTTTAAGCCGTTGTTCATCCAGACTGTATTACTCCCAGCACTTGTCTTTCTTTTTCTGGACAGCTGGTAAGCCGCCATAATAGCTTCGCTTATCTTTTCTGTTGTTGAATTTATAACCTATGAGCCTTTAAACAAGATCATACTTTCCCCGAGATTTTTTCGGAGGGACCTCCCATACCATACCCAATTTGTATTTCTAGGATTTCTGTATTTAATTTCCGATGGAAAAATATCAAGGTCAAATTTTCAGGTCTTTTCCACTCAGCTTTACGCGCCGAGTAGAAAAAGAGCGCATCCCCCAACATTGAACACATTATGGAAAATGAATCTATATATAGAATCTTTTTTGTACTTCTGCACATAAGATAAAGATTGGTACATCAAGAAGAAGAAGATATCTTATTTAGAGTGTAGTCCTTCCTTTTTATTGAATAAAAAATAACACATGTGAACAATCTTTAAGTAACAGATTTGACAGTTTAAATTTAAATTATGTCACAATTTGTCAAAATATAAAATAAGTCAAAAAAATAATGAATGTGACATTGCTGAAAAAAATTTCCAAATGACCGAATCTCAAATTGATGTCGATGCTTCCTCGGATATTACAGAAATTCCACACGTTGTTATTCTTCACGAAAGATTATCTAGAAGAAAATCTGACAGATATATATTAAATATTGCATTAGCTTATTATAAAATCGGATATAAAGTCAGCATTTTAACATCCGAATTTGAGAGAAATGAAGCTATTACCGATATAAGGGTATTTACATTTATTTCTTTATATTTACAAACATTTAAACATATGCGAAGTGCTTATTTGTATTTTAATACTTTCGTTTATTGTAATTATTATTGTTACAAGTGTTTTCTGTCTATTTACAAATACTTATTAAGTTTCATATGCCTTTACTTACTGCATTGATACATTATTAGGAAAATTAGTTGCTAAGTTAACTTTTTCAACTTATTTAGCTCTTGATTAGTACCTTAGTGATACTTTTTCCCATCAGTAATATGCCTATTCTTCCTATCTATTTGCTGATAGCTACTACCGTCTGCAAGGAAATAGCGTTGACTACTTAAGTAAATATTAAATAGCATTATTTAATTTATACTAAATCCGATTTTTGAAAAACCTTTTATAATTCTATAATTATTTATTTGGCCTTACTAACTTCCCGAATAATAAAATATCCCAACATATTTAAATATTTTCTATAACTTTATAAAATTAAATCATTTGCCTTTTTCCGATTGAAAATTTCTCTATCCCTTTAGATGCTGTCTAAGTAAACTTTTTTTAAGTATTTTCTATTTATTTTTAATTGTCTGTTTAACTGTGTAAAATATATTATTTAAAACTTGTTTTTAGTTTTAAAAAGTAAATTTAGTGATCTTAAAATCTCAAGAGTTTAACATTAATCTGCAAAACTGTGTTGCTAGTTGCTTGCTGGTATGTAGTGTGGATTAGTGGATTGTAAAGTAACAATTTGGTCCACATCTTTGAATGGATGGTATGTGGTGGGATACAATATTGTGACATCGATAAAATTGCTAATCAGATACAAAAAATAATAGTAATAACTTGGAATTGGGAACAAATTCCGGAAGAGCTGGAATTTGTTCCTAACTGGAATTGTTTGTTTGTTACACAATAAGGGTGATCAATTGGAATGCAGAAACTAGAGAGACATAAGCTTTGTTAACACAAAATGTTTAATATATTGGAGTATCCTATATGGTCATATATAAGTGCATATTCAGAGTAGCTGTTTGGAAAATATCAGAGTGGTTTTAGGTCTAATCAATCAGCAATGGACCAGATTTTTGTAGTGCGACAAATACTGGAACAAACCAACGAATTTAATATTAACACTTGTCATCTCTTTATATCATTTAAATCAGCCTATGATAGTATAATACAACATAAATGAATTCTACATTTCCGATAAACTAATAAGATTTATAAAGGCTACAATGCGTAAAGTTTTTTGAAAAGTGAACAACTTGAATACAGGGTGAACAATCACCGGCATTTAAAATACCTATCAAACTGCGGCAGAGAGATGCGCTAGCACGCTACTCAATTATGGACTATGCAGATGATCTAGACCTAATCTAGATTTAATTGCTCATGCAACAGGTAAGCTAGAAAAAATGTACACCGCTTTCTCAAATGCCCAATAAAATGGTCCTACCAATAAGTAAAGCAAAAACCAAAATGATGGCATCAACACCCAACAACAGAGCCAGAACAATCGACTGCCAATTTACAGTTATTACCTCTAGCTTTAAATTTACATACTTAGGCTCCCTGATTACCAATGACTGAGAATAATTCCGGCAAACTAATGCTTCTTTGGGATGCGTAAACAAATAAAGATAAATTCCATGGATACAAAGAGTTGTTAATGTTGAGGTGCTTCGTCGAATGTGTAAACGGAAAGAAATGCTAAGAATAATCAAAAAGAGGAAAATTCAGTACTTGGATCATGTGTTAAGAGGCGAAAAATATGAATTACTTCAACTTATACTGGAGGGAAAAGTGCAGGGCAAGAGATCAGTAGGAAGACGCCAGAACTCATGGCTAAAAGACCTAAGGAGATTATTTGACCGCTCATCCGCAGAAATCTTTCGCGTTTTCAAAACCACAATTGCCATTTGGATCGCCAACCTTCGAAAGGAGAAACAAATAAAAAGTAGAAACTTAAAAACTATGAAGACTTGAAAAAACAAAAACAACAATAAACAAAACCCTTTCAATGCTAGTCCTTACATATGGATCGAAAATATGGATCATTTTTAAGATAGATGACAACCTGCTTCTCATATCTGAACAAAGTATCCTGAGAAGAATATTTGGTAGCATCTGTAAAAACAGTATTTGGAAAATAAGGTACAACTATGAGATATACCTCAAATACAAACAGATATCTAATGGTAAGAACGTGATATCTTTCATAAAAATATAAAGACTAAAATGTCTTAGACCATAGCTGGTAGCAGGAGTTAAGTCAAGATTTTAGACAAAGATGCTAGAAAAACAGATGCAGAAAACTGGTAATGGGTGGCAATAGATAAAGCTGACTATCAAAATAAACTTAGGGAGGTCGAGGCTCTACTATAGTGCTATAGCACCATTGATGATTAATGTGACCGAAGAATTGATGCTTTCCTACACGAAAATCCTTACAAAAACTACAAACCAAAATCAGATATGTGTTGTAGTCAATATACTCTATATTGTCCATGTTTTAACTAGTAATCGATAAACGAAAAATCGCATGTTCCATACTGCCCTTAAAAATCTGCGTTTATAAGTGGCGTTTTTCTTTATTTTAGTAGTTTCATAATAAATTAGAATTAATTTAAGTTTTTGCCTAAATTCTAATTCTAAATCCTTGGAGTGCTTTATAGCATGTTTATCAATTGTCATTTTTAAAATAAAAATAAAAAAAGTAATTTTTATTTAGTTTGCAGGAAAAGTGGCACTTGAATACTGCGCATGGTGGATCCCCAAAACACTACTGGGCCTCCTAAGCCTCTCCGTATTTAGGTCTATTTGGATGGCCCTAAAATTGATTGTTTTTCCTCCAGACCCTAAACCAGAAGTAATTATATTGGACGTTAGTCTCATAGCCCTGTATATACTGAAATCTTTCTCAAATTATAAAGTGTTTGTTGTTGAGACTTTCGAAGACCTAAAAAACACCGATGCTTGTTACGAACATACAAAGCTAATTCCTACACTAGTTGAAGCTAAATGGATAAAACTGGCTGATGAAATTATAGTTGAGACGTTAGGTTTTGCAGAGATACTAGTAAAGTCCCACCCCTCTATTATAAAAAAGCCTCGAATACTATATCCCTCCATTGATTTGGGACTTTGGAATGAACCGGGAATAAAAATTCAACGAATAATCCCAGATTTGTTGGGAGATACCATTTTATTCTTATCTGTCGGAAAATTTAAGCGAGCCTCAAATTTTAAATTAGCTTTGGACGCTTTTGAATTTCTTCTTGAACTTATTGACGATTCAGCTATAACAAAGCGATTTCAATTAGTGGTTGCAGGTAACTGCAAAACTTTGGACGAAAGGTTTCACTATAGCGAATTAATGGCTTCAGCGAAACAAAGAGTATGTGCAGCACAAATAACATTCTTAAGACAGCTTCCAATTATTCATGAAAAGACTTTAATCATGGAATCCGCCATAATGATACATCCTGCAAAGAATGACGTATATTCAGACTTTGTTCTAAAGGCTATGTCCTTAGGAAAACCTATAGTAGCCACGAACAAGGGTATTGCGTCGAAACTGCTCGTACATAGACTATCAGGAGTCATTGTCGAACCAGAACCAAAAGTTATTGCTCTCGCTATGAAAAAGTTAATGCTAAATCCGCATTTGCAAGTATTTTTGGGAGATATGGCCAAAGAAGCGTTTGATAAGTCTCACTCCTTTGACGCTTTTTGTGGTCAAATTAATGAGATAATGAGAACACCTGTGGAAGCATCTGTCAGTACTATATATAACGGCCATGAAGAATCTATTTCGGCAAATTAATATGTTGTTATAATTAAAAATTTCTTGTCATTATTTTTAAATCTTGTAACAAAATTTTAAACATGCAATAAAATGATAAAAATAACTTTTTTTATTATTTAATATTTTTAAAACTATACGGACGAATTTACGAATACTTTCTGGAATATCTAAAGAAATTATTGTGATACTAAACTTTTGTCAGTAAACATTTTGTATAAATAGGTTTTATTGACACTATAAATAAGTTCATATTCTCCAGTATGAGAACACAGAACGTGGTTGAAAACTCATTCAATACACATATGGTACCATAACATATTCAATAGAGAATTGGAAAAAATGAAGTAGACTATCGGTAATATAATGAAAAGCAATTAATAATAGCATATCAAGAAAACTGATGAATCAGGAAATTCTGAAGCTAATGAATAGCAAAAGAAACTACAGGAACAGTGATCCAGATAGATATCATGAAGTATACAGAACAATGAAAATAAAGACAAGCGAATCAAAAGAGTTGCTGGGGAAAAAACGTAACAAAATGTATAAATTTAAAAATAAGTATGACTTTCACAATAAACTTAAAAAAATTAGGCGTATGATATCACATCACAACAAAACATAAAAGAAAATTTAAAAATATGCATTCTCATACATCTGAGTTGCTAAAAATATCGGAGTCATATACAAACACTTTTACATTATGAACGCACAGGAATCTATAAAAATAATTGTAATGAACTATCAACCATTCGCACGAAAACTGGGATTAATAAGTCGTTTCTTTTTTGCATTAAGAGTAATAAAGCTAAATAATTGAGTCGGGTTTCAAGTCGTTGATATTTAATTACTATTCGTTTACCACATTTACGACTGCAGCGAATATTTCCCAAAATGGACTGACTACATTTCCATCACCATCTCCAAAAAATCACAGCACAACATGTTAAAGTTTATTTAGCAGAAAACGGTTGACTACAATTAGTGCGGTCGTAACCATTATTAAATTTATCTGACGTGGCCCATTGAAGACCTTGTACCTCAGGTAATCCACTGTTACCTGAAACCGGGACTTTTATACTATTATCGGTTAACCCAGGGTGTTTATAGTCGATACTAACTGAAGTCTCAACCATTTACTGCTAAACAAACGTTACCAATATATATTATTAATTAGTCTGATTAATACCATAACAAAATATTCACAAACATTATATATAACTATATACCGGGTAGTGAATCGTCAAACGGGCCATAGGAAACTCAATGGGAAATTTTAAATTGTTGAATTACTGCTTCCCTAATTATTTTAGATCAAAAGTCATAAAAAACTATTTGTAGAGGACTAAAATCTAAATTAAAAACAAATGTTAAAACCGTTCTACGAATCAAATGTACTTCAAAATTTTGCAAAAATATAATACATTTTTTTGAATTGACTTGTCAATTTTTTTATTTTTTAAACAATGAATGAATTATAAACAATGAATTTTACTACATACCTCTACTAATTAACAACAAATATTACTTTGTGAACAATAAATTATATTGTTTACAAATCGATCAATATAATGAAATGTACTCAGTTGACGAAAAATCGCATAATGTTGTATTCAGGGAATAGCGCGAACCTTTTCCTGCCACTACCGGATCTTTATTTAACGTAAGATATTCTAATACACTAAAATTTAATTCCATGTTAAGTTAGACAACAATTCAATGAACTCCAATATACTGTTACTGTGATCTTTATTCCTAAAAATAATTTATGATAATTTCTAAACATAAAACTATAACAAAAAACTGTAACAAATAAAACATGAATAAAACATTTTTATTATTGCTCTTTTTTCTCCTCAACTGAGTACATTTTTTAATCAACTTAATTTTTTTTAAACAAATTACAAAATTTAAATTTTGGCCATTTAAATCATAGATAAATATAAAATACTTGATTTAAATATTGTCAAATATCAGAAACATCAATATGACAAAACGCAACACGTAATACACATTTTTTACGGCGTTTGGTCTGACTTTTAGGGGTGGTCTGAAAAATGTATTATATTTTAGCAAAATTTTGAAATACTTTTAAATCGTATAACAATTTTAACAGTTGTTTTCAATACATATTTGAGTCCTCTATAAATAGTTTCTCATGACTTTTGGTGTAAAATAATTAGGAAAGCAGGAATTCAACAATTGAGAATTTCCAATTGAGTTTCCTATGGCCCGTTTGATGATTCACTACCCTGTATAGCGAAATGTATATATGTGTTTCATCTGATTTTTAAAAACTTTGTACAACGGTAAGCATTGTTGCTGATAAAATAAATATACCTCAGAAGGGAGAAGGATGAAGAACTTATCAAATGAGAAAAAACGATCACATTCAGGAGGTAACATGGAGAGACTACTGTCGATCCCTATTTACTAAGGTGACGATAATGAATGACCAACACCACAAGTAACAACAAACGAAGACATAAATATTGAGAAGGAAGACATAGAGAAAGCATAAAGGAAATTTAAAAAAATCACCAGAAGAGGACAGAATACCAAATGAACTCCTAAATTGCAGCAGAGCAGATCTGACCAAACAAATATTATTACACAGTAATTAATTTATTAAACATAACACTAAAATTAACAACCAAAGTGATAACAAATAAATTGAATGAAATTATAACACTAAGAGAACAACAACAAGGTTTTAGGTCAAGAATATCATGCACCGACGCTATATTTATAATGAGGTAAGTGCAAGAAAAATCGTTAGAATACAATAAACCGACATATTTATGTGTTTTGGACATTAAAAACACATTTGACAGGGTTAAATTAAAGAACGTTATCCACTTATTGTACGGAAAAGAGATACCTCTACGAATAATCAAAACGATCGAAAATATCTACCAAAACCATACAATACAAGTATAAATAGAAGAAAAACTAACCATAAGATAGAAAGATTTCCTAAGCGATCTATTATTGAACCTGATCATGGATGAAATAATAAAAAGGTAAGAACTAAAAAAGTATACCAAATGGGAGAAAGACCACTTAGAATAATCAGTTATGCAGACTACGCAACACTACTCTCTCAAATTTAAGATGATTTACAACGTATGCTGCACCAATTTATTATAACCGACAGAAAATTTAACATGTTAATTCCCACCAAAAAAAGAGAAAATGCATGGTTAAAGCAGCGAATTTACTAAGGTGTCAATTGGAGCTAAATGGTCAGATAATAGAACAAGTAATAGAGTTTAAATATCTAGGCGCCACACTATCTAGCTACGTAAAGCTCGAAACAGAAGTGAAGGATTAAGCGAATAGATCAAACAGAGCCGCATGTTGCCTGACTAAAACTATATTGGGAAATAAAAATATCCGAAAAGAAATTAAATACAAAATAGTCATCAAACCCATAATGAGATAAGCGGCAGAAACACGACCTGATACAGAGAGGACAAAAATAATGTTAGAAACAGCATATATGAAAACACTTTGAAAAATTGATATAAGAGAACCATGGACCAATAGAGAACCCATAGGCAACATATTTTCAAACTCTCCTAAAAACAAAAACAATGTAAACTAATTACATGAATAAAGTGGCCTAGACGCATGGGTGTGCTCCGAAAAATATATGTGTCAACCAACTGATTAGATGATACACTTAGATAATTCCTTATACTGAAATGTAAAAGTACCTTAATACTTTAGTATTACACATGTAGAAACAACTTTGCAATATGTACACCACTTAACATCAGACTTTGTTCTTTGAAACACACTTTATCTAGACTATGACTACAAATATATATATATATATATATATATATATATATATATATATATATATATATATATATATATATATATATATATATATATATATATATATATATATATATATATATCGCTGTGATGACACTATATCACCCAAACTATTCAATCAAGCTTTGGAAGACGTTATGAGGAAATTACAATGGGAAAAACAGGGTATTAATTGAATCACTTGAGATATGCAGATAACATTGTATTAATAACAGATAAAAGGGAAAAATTACAAAATATGATGGATGAATTAAATAGCGAATCAACAAAAATAGATCTACAAATAAATTATAATAAAACGAAAATTATAACCAACCAACCAAAAGAATTAATAATTACAATTGCACAAACAACTATAGAACAAGTAAAAGAATATGTATATTTGGAACAACTAGTTAAATTGAATAAGTAAAATCGGACCGGAGAAATAAAGAGAAGGATACGGTTGGCTTGGGTAACCTTCGGAAAACTTTCCTATATACTAAAAAGTAGAAAATACCCCCAATATTTAAAAACAAGAGTGTTCAACCAATGTATACTTCCTGTTCTCACCTACGGTTTTCAAACTTCGACGTTTACAAAGGAAAACATGGAAAAAATAGCAAAGACCCAAAGAGCCATGGAAAGGCAAATGCTGAACATCAGGCTATCAGACAAGAAAAGAAATACTTGGATCCGCAACAGAATAAAAGTGACCGATGTATCAACGCTGATAGCAAAACTTAAGTGGAAGTTCGCTGGACATACCATAAGACAGAAAAACGACAGATGGAATAAGATGATTATATACTGGAGACTATATAGTTACAAACGAAAAAGAAGAAGGCCACAAATGAGATGGTCAGATGACTTGAAGAAACACGCAGGCCCAAAGTGGATACAAACTGCCTACAACAGAGAGACGTGGAAGAAGGAAGAGGAGGCCTATGTCCAAAATTGGACAGCAAGGGCTTTATAGATAGAAAGATATATTGCTGACCATCATATATTTCAGCCTGTAGTTTCTTGAGGGTCTGATGATGCTGTGTAACTAGTGAACAGCGAAACCGTTCGCTCAATCTTTTGTTTAATAAAAATCTACAACCTAACAAGGATTGTGAGTATAAGTCGTTAGTTCGTAACATTATGTACGATAACAATATGCAATAAACAAAATATATTCCAACGATTAAACGTCATTTTTTCCTCACAAACATTATGTAAACAATGTAAGATCGCTATTTAATTTTAAATAATAAAGGTGAAGACCGGCAAATTAAAGGTAGTTTTTTTTAGAATTATACAACTTTGAAACGGAATAAAACAAAGATTTTTTTAATTGACACGAATTTACCTTTATTCGAAAGATAATCTTTTAGCATTATAATTCTGATATATGAATGCAATGGCTATCTCTGAAGTATTATCATCTAGAGGTCCAATTTTCAATGACTTTTTTCAACATTCATGACCATATATCGGCAATAACGCGGCAAATGTTGTTCTCCAACTGGTCAATTGTTTTAGGCTTATCGGCGCACGATCTTGGAGCCCACTTCACGAGTTCGAAACGTGAAACTATGCGGTTACCAAACGTTTCCTTTAATAAATCAATTTTGGCACGAGCTATATGACATGTATCGTCGCTTTGTTGAAACTACAGCTTCTGCACGTCCTGGTTTTTTAATTTATAAATTAATCAGTAATTATGGCTATATCGCGATTATCATTGACTGTAACGTTCTGGCCAGAATTGTTTTTGAAGAAGTATGAGCCAATGATCCCACCAGCCTGTAATGCACACCAAACAGTCAGTTTTTCTAGATGTATTGGTTTTTCAACATATACTTAAGGATTATCTTTACTCCAAATACGGCAGTTTGGTTTGTTGACTAGCCATTCAACCAAAAGTCAGCTTCGTCGCTAATCAAAATTCGCTTATGAAAATCGGGATCAACGGCAATCTCGTTTTGGACCCATTTACTGCAACTACGCAATGCTAGATGATCGTGTAGCTTCATTTCTTCACGAGTTGGTTTTTGTTAGCATACAAACCAAGGTATTTCCGCAAAATCTTCCATAAAGTGAATGGAACTTTTGTAATTATTATTTAGAATTATTTTATCCAGAATATTTAACATCTCACCTGACAAGACGATGTACGGTAGACGCCTACGCAGAAATGCACGGCACCTTAAGAAGAAGAAGATTTAGAATAAACGTGGTGCGAAAACGTTTTACGGCTAATCGAATTAATTGTTCTGGTGGACTATTAGGTTTATCATAAAATGGACGTAGTGTGCAATACGTATTTCGAACAGAACCATAATTTTCAAAATAAATTTGCACAATTTGGAAGCGTTGTCTAGGCGTCTATTCATGCTGAAATGCCTAACCAAACTTAACATACATAAATCACTTGACAGATGTTAAAATGGCCAACAGGTAAAAAAGTGTTGCCAACTTACATTTCTATACCTACAGGTATTTATATATTTCTATATTACAGGTTAACACTGGTTTAGAAAGTTTAGTTTTAAAAAAAATCTTAGTTTAAATTGAATACACTATTTTCTAAATGTCTCAAAAAATCCTCTTTTTTCTCCAAATGAAATTTTATTGACAAAAATTTATAGTTCAGAAATATATAGCACATCGTATATGTAACAATATTTTACTGACGTACTGCAAATTTTACATTACTACGAACAATTTTATATTTCCCCACAAATATGTCAAAGCACTTAAAGGGAGATAATAAATATAAAAAACATTGACACGGTGTAAACTAAAAATAGAGATATGAGTTATATCTTATAATATAACCAATAATCTTACCACTTAAACGATTTCCTTTGTTCGAAAACTCGTCAATCTTTTCTTTTTTTACATAGGAGGGAACTACCGCAAAATCTGCAAATAAAAAATATTAAAAATATTAATATTTATTTCTATATTATGTAAATTATACTATGTATTGACAACAATACAAACGGTACTAAAAATATCTTAAAGTAAGGATATTTAGCTGGCATAAACACTCTATTTCCGCTTGTATTAGCAAGTATTTGTTTATAAAAGCCTAAAATAAAAAAGCCGTGTTTAACGACAAGAATCCGGAGTATTTTTCTAGCATGAACTTCTACCTCGGTATCTGTTATGACCAAAGACGAGCTAGTTCGATCCGGAGTATTGATCGCACAAGGAAAAGGGAAAGGGAAAAAGTCAACTGGATATATTTAAAAATTGGACTGGAAAGACAAGAAAAAATGCTAGAAAAGCGTCAGACAACAACGAGGCCGTATAATATATTATACAGGCTTGGAATATAGAAACCAAAAAATATTTTTGAAACAAAAAGACGATATTAATTAAACTCTGCAGGTAAGTACAATGACACATAACGCATCGACGACATATTTTTATTTCTACTCTACTTCTGGTTTCACCGGAACTATCCTTAACTTATTTAATTTAAAGGAACACCATGTATATTTTAACAGCTTATAAAAAGAAGATGTTTCTTATTTACACACGTCAAATTTAGTAGAAAAAAAAGTGTTTTTTTTCTAGATACATGTAGTTACTAAGGTCATTAAGCAATAATAATTTTAAAAAATCACTTTAAATATTTAAAATGCTCGCAGTTCACATCCTGGCAATGTATAAACGTATTTTACTAGTTAATTTACTAGTCCAATGAGAATAAAACTTTCAAGTAATTACTATTTAAATGGAAATAAGCCACAATTAAAAGTTAAAATACGTTTATTGACGTTTCGATTTCCGCTTCGGAAATCGTTCTCAAAATAAACAAGTATTATCTGATAGGTAACTGTTGCCAAACCTATTCACCAAAATAAGTTGTATATTAAAAATGATTGATTTACGTGAAAATGAACGTATTTAAATATTAAGGATGGTCGGTTAGGGTGATTACCATAACGGGAGCTATAATTGTGTGTAATATTTTGAATGCTTTGCAACTGGAACGGAATCCCAGATCACCTTTAGTGTTTACGAAAACATTGTGACTGTAAAAACTGTTTACAAGATGGTTTTAAGGAGCTTCCTGATGTTCCTACCTCTGAAGCTCCCACACTACTCTTAGGAGTACCTTTTTGGTCCCTACATTCTCCATTTCTTCCCTTAATTTAGACATTATGTTTTCTAGTCTCTTGTCCCCGTGTATTTTCGTCTTCTCCTTGCTCACAGAGTCTGAGTCACATAAAAATAGTCTGACAGCTTCCCCGGTTCTTCTCCTCCTGGCCCTTCATTGTAATTGTGGCTATAGTATTAAGTTGGAGGTACTCCACCTCTTCTGATATATATGTACCTCCTTCACATACTTTCAGCTCCGGTTTTCCCCCTATTAGGTCGTGGAACTTTCCCCTCATCGAAAAATTCAGGTTCCACGACCAATAGTAAGTCGCCTGTAGCTTTATTCCTTCTTCCTTGTTTGGTGACCGTATAGTAATCTTTCCATTCAATTTCTATGATGTCCTTTATGTTTTCAAAGCCTCTTTCTCCTAAATTCGCGATCAATTGTATCTCTCTTTTCATAAGTTATTCGGGGAGAACTCTTCGAAGTCCACCTCTGTGGACACGCTTGCCGTCTCCTTCGTCGAACACTCCTGACTGGTTTTTTTCATTACCCTTTTTGTTTGCCAATATTGCTGGGGGCTTGTCTGACAGTATCCTCGGTGACTGCTTTAAGCTTTTTTATTTCACTTTTAATATCGACCTTCGTGTTTGTATGGTCGGGCATTAGTTTCATTAAACTGTTTGTCGTGCTGGTAAGTTTCTCCATTTTGTCCCCAAATGAGAAGCTCTTTTGCAAGGTTGTCTTTCCCAAGAGATCCTTTCTGATTGGGTCCCTACTTCTGACCAGAGATCTTTCAACAAATTCCCTTTTTTCGAAGATAATAATCTTCCTCCTTTCTTTTTTCCTCTTCGCTGAGGACTTTTCCTTTATTCCCTTCACTGCTGATGAACACCATATCCTCGCATTCATAGCTCATTCCATCTGTCCTGCAGCTGGTGACTTGCTCCATTGTCCCTTCGTTTTGTTTTGTTTTTTTCTTGGCTGTTTAAGTACTTGTTCATATAAGTTTCATGAGTATGGATGAAATATACTGTCTGGCGGAGCAATGCGCCCTTACCAACGAATAAGCTATAATTACATCAAAGGTTCGCCAATCCTCCAAAAATGCTAGGGTAGAAAAATTACTAGGGTACATATAAGTATAGTAAATATTATTTGGTAACACAATGAGTTATTAAATTCTGCTATTAAGTTTTACTAGCATACGTTTTTATTTCTAATCTTGGATAAAAAATGTATGTTCCTTAAGTCAAATATTAATTATTATTTTTGCAAAAAAAATTTAATAAAAACTCCGCAAAAACATAAATGACATTGTTGCAATATTTTTTTTTTACAAAATATCATACTAATATACAGAGTGTTCCATTTAAAAACATAAGAAAATGTTGTATTTAAAAATAGTTATCACACTGTATGTTGCACAGATAGATGTCGAAGATACGAAACCTGATAGAAAATGATATTAAAGACAAACAACCTGAAGAACAAGCGGGATTTAGGGACGGACGCTCCACTTTGGATAATATTTTTACATTAAAAACTGCAATGGAGAAACGAGTGCAGAGAAATAGAGAAACCCATATAGCTTTAATAGATTTGGAATAAGCATATGACAGTGTACCGATCTTCCAACTATGGATAGATATGCCCAATTCTTATTAACACCACTCAAAAATACTACAAACAAAACTTTGCAAGAATTAAAATGGGACAAGAAATCACCTCTCCTTTTCAAACAACAAAGGGACTAAGACAAGGCTGCTGTCTGTCGCAAACCTTATTTAAAATCTATTTGGAAAAATCCTTAGTGAAATGGGTAAAAAAATGTAGAAACATGAGAATAACGGTGCAAGAAAACACCCTATATCCACTTTTCTTTGCGGATGATCAGGTAGTAATTGTCGTAGACAGCTACCATCTTAGCTTTATGGTAAGAAAACTTCAAGAATAATATGAGGTGGCAGGTCTAAACATGAATATGACAAAATGTGAATATCTCTCATTGGGAACAGATGAACAGATGAAATATGTGACATAGTCTTGAAAGACGACAAAATCAAATGCGTGCAATCCTGCAAATATTTGGGGGCCATTTTCAACAAGAAGGGAAATAGCGCAGATGAAATCAGGGAAAGAATAAACAAGGGCAGAGCAGCGATCCGTGCCTTAAACTGTCTTCTATGGCAAAAAAAAACAATTCGACGAAAAACCAAAAAAGAAATTTACGGTAATATAGTCCAAAGTATTACACTTTACGATTCGGAAGTATGGCACGTCACCAAAGCTAATAGAAACAAACTTATGACGACAGAAATGGATTATCTGAGACGAAGCTGCGGTATATTGAAATTGAAGAGAGTTAGAAACGAGTACAGATGGCCTAGATGAGTACTGGAATGGATTCCTCCTGAAAGAAAAAAGAGAGGAGAACCACGGAGAAGTTGGCGCAACAATATTGACGAAGCCATGGCGGCAAGAGACTTAGAAGAGGCAACTGCATATGACAGAAAAAGATGGAAATTGGGGACGGAGAAGCGGCGACAGCCGTAATCAATCCGTTATTATATACAAAAAATAATACTATATTAGAAAAATTTTAACATAAAATTTAAAGTTTTATGACCTTGAAAACCTAATCTACATCCGTTTAAATATTAGCATTTTTCTTAATAGAGGTGTAAATATTTCGAAAATTTTTAACTTAAGACCTATAAAACCTCTTTATAATTAAAAAAAAACTACATTTAAAAACCCTTTAATTTACAGAATGTTCCATTTTAAAAATACACACCTTTGGTTTATTCCGGCGTTCCGACTGATCCTGTATGATCGAAAATAATTTTTAATTGTGTATAAACGTGTTTGATATACATCATCAAAGAAAGCCAAAAGTTTGCAAAATACCCCAAAAATTTATAAATGAATCAAAGAACAGTCGTTAGCTACTAGTAGATATATTTAAAAAAGTGGCACAATGGTTATTATAAAGACAATTAGTATTTGGAGGGAAAACGTTTCTTTTTTAGCATAGACTCGATTCTGCGAGGCATGGAGTTCACGAGATGGGCACAGAGATACACAGATCCTCTGAGTAATATCTAGAAACCAGATTATTCAATACTTTGAATAATCGCTTAAATCAGTTTTCTCTTTTTACTTGGGTTTTGGCGTGATACTAACACTTTCAGCCTTGACCATAGATTTTTTATTGCATTTAGATAGGAGTAGAGATTGTTTTCGGGTTGAGGCAGGGCAGTAGCATGATGAATGACAGGTCACTCCATCCTGCTGTCCTGCTGGAAGATTTTCCTTCAAACCTCTTTGCCTTTCATCTCTGATAGTTTGCGTCAATTTGGCTAGCATTATTTCCCTCATATAATTGTTTATATATATATATATATATATATATATATATATATATATATATATATATATATATATATATTATAGCGTAATATTCTTGACGGCAAAAAGACATTAGAAACAGGCTACTTTTGAAACACGGGAAAATAGAAAGAAAGATGTGCAACACATAGAAAAACTGACAAACACGGTATGTAGGTACACAAGGCAGTTCAAAAATATCGACATTCACTGTCCTTATCATAAACAATATGGAGTGAAAACTGCTAATAAAAACTAAAAAACAAATTATATACATTACGTAACATTGCAAAAAAACGACGTAAATTAGACATTGCAAACAAAGTAATAAATAAGACATGTCGCTATGATAAAAATTAAGAAAATTAATAGATATTATACATGTATCTAACCTCGAATAATGTTTACTGGTGATTCATTT